TGGAAAGGGAGAGGGGGGTGGACTGGGGTGTAGTGGAGTGGGGTAGATGAGGAGTGGGGTAGATGAGGAATGGCCTTTTGGGTTGGGTTCTTATATTTTTTCTATTTTTTTGCTATGGGCCTGGGCCAACTATTTGGCGGAAAACAGACGCATAGACACACACACCAGCGGCGAAAAAAGAGCAACAATAATAACCATAAACTGTCGACCAGCCCAGTGCCCAACCCACCCCACAAAGCACCACCCAACCAGCACATCTTACCCCCATCCCCTTTTCCACCGACTGTTTGGCGTCTGTTGACCTCATTTCGCCGAAAAGTTTTTTTAGTTGTTTTTTTCTTTTTTTTATTTCCATTTGGGCTTTTTTTCCCTATATTTTGGCGCAAACAAGGAACACATGGTGGCGGCATAAACACGAAGAATGAGTTGTGGAAGAACCAGAAGGAGAGATCTACAATATCTACAAGATCTACGAGATCCCCGGAATCCCAGAGATTTACAAGCCGGCAAAAAGCGATAACATGCCTTAATTTTATGTTATTTTCTTGCCATGCTGGCAAATGTTTTAGTTTTACAACAAAAAACACAATAAAATTACGCAAGACTTGTGATAATAATTACACACTGAAAATATAATAAAGAAAAATTGTTAAGAATAAAATTAAAAGTATACGAAGTTGTTCGCAAATCCCATAAAACAAAGATACAAGTTTGCAACAACTTTTAATGTATAATTTTCAAATTAAAATTTTGCAATAAGAATGTATGTTGTATTTAGCCCCAAATGATTTTTTACATTCAGTAATTTTTAATTAACCAACTTATTAAATCAGTTTATTGACAAGTGTTGGAGCTAATTAACAAAACAATGTATATATTACCTATATGTATACAAATGCACTTTATGGTGCTTGTGAATGCCACAGCAAGTGTAATAAAATCTCCGGCAAGGGTACTCGAAAAAAATCGTAAACCTTAATCGACCTTCCCTGCCCGTATCTCAATTTGTACCATATCATCGAGGGTGATATTTGCGGAACGTAGATTGAATAAACAAAAAAAAAAAACAAAAAAAAAATTAAGATCGGCTGTCGATAAGCGAGTGACATTATTTGCATATGTACCTGTATGTTTCATTTACTGCATTCTCATTAACAAAACAAATATGCGACAATCGCAGAATGCAAACAAAACAACGTAAAAAGGCGGGCACGAAACGAGTTGGAAATTCAAGGTTTCGCACTGCAGTTATCGGTCAGAAAAAATGAATTGCAAGTATTGTTTGCATCGTCCCGAGACTTCGATGAAAAAACAAAAAAAATTCTTACATCCGGGCAGATAGTACAGCTTCCTTCTCTTCTTCCGATTTCAAGTGCGTCATTTAAGTTGAAATGCAATGAAACGGAAGGAAATTCAAGTTAAATCATAGGTAATGGCTAAACCTTTCTGAGTTTTTTTGAGTACAGGACACACAAATGTTTTACAGCCAATTTAAACCCATTGAAGCTTTCCTTTAAAAAAAAAACAATGTATATATACTTAAGCAAAATATATTATTCATCTCATTTCCATTTTGCAACGGGTTGTTGGTTTTTCTTTTAATTTTTCAGACGTGTGAATTTTTTACTAAGAGCACGTAGTCATATATTTTATCTGTTACCTGTTTTCCAAATTTCTCGTTTTACATCTTTTGATTTTTTATTGATTTAATCAAGTACTCAATTTTAATAAATATATTAAGCTCGTAAAAAAGTCCCAATCAATTTGAATTCAAATCTGAATAAAAAGGGATTTATTGAAAATGTGGAAATTGGGCAAGAATTAAATTATTTTAAATCAGCCACAAAGTAATAGGGATCGATTACTTATAAAATAGGTCATATGTTAAATTGTGGCTTCTCCTTTGACCAAGTAACAACGAAAACAAACTCGAAATAAAGTCCCTATCTGGTTCTCACATTACACGAGATTCACGCGTGACAGTTAAGTTAACCCGTTTACGGAACTCGAAGCCCGGAGTTCGGGGTTCCCAGGTGAAGACGTCGGTTTAATTGTGAAGTTCCCATTCCGGCGACCTCACAACGCGCGTGATCTGCACGTCCAACTTACAGAAGGCATTCCCGTTGGTGGGAAAACAGAGGCGGGGGGACAAGCAGGGAACAATAAGGAGAGGGGGCACTGCATGACGGACATGACGTTCGCTTGTCAGCAAATCAAAAGCTCCAATGCACATGACCGGCGGCCAAGGGGCCATCATATCATCCACTTCGGACAACCACGGATCGTGCGAGTGGACGTGTAAATGGATTTTTGATTGCAGTCGGCGGTCGGCGGCTTTTGTGCCGCGTTTCATATATTTTTTTTTGATTTTTGAACCCCTTTTTTAACCAAGCTTAGCCTTGATCATGGCCTGACAAAAAGTGACAAATGCATTCCACCTAATTGAGAATGCAGAACACTCGCCCAAGAAAGCTAAAAAAAAAAAAAACAAAAAGGAAGCTAGCTTCGGCAAGCCAGAGTTTTTATACCCTTGCAGCTGTTATAAAACAGAAATTGACATAATGTGAATATATTTCGATTGTTTCTTAGGCACCTATGTCATGACGTTGTCCGATTTTAAAAAAAACTGAAAGCCATAATTTGGAAATAGTAAACCAAAACTAAGATGTTTTACCTTATAAATTGAGAGAGCAAAGTTATAATTTTTTCACATTTTTTTTTGCGATTGTTTTTTATGGGAGCTGTATAGAAAAGAAATGTTTTGGAAAGAAACATTTTTGTAATGTGTAGAAGGATTTGAGGGATTTTGCCGAGTGCGCAGCATATTCTGCAACACGGGAGTAAGAATTCGGGACACTTTAATCAAGATGGATGTGATTCAGATGTGATCGTCATCTTCTTCCGAAGGAATCTCTGCGGGCAGGCGGTGGGAATATCTCGATTAGATTCTCTGTTTGACACAAGTAGTAGTGGTATACAACACCCAGTGTAATTGCTTTGACCCACTGAATCAAGTTGACCGGCTCAAAAAAGAGCTGCAAATACAAACTGGCTGGGGATTAACCAGGGGAATGCCACAAAAGAGGCACTAATACACTTTTAAAAAAGGTCCTGCCTTTTTTTGAAAATGAAAATTAATAGATATTAAATTTGGTTTGACATATGTTCGATATACGTATGTAATATAACTTTGAAAATGTAATAATATATTTAACAACTTGCATCATTTATTTCTGAATAATTTTCTTATTCCAAACAAGGAAGTTAAGATACTTAAACTGATTAAAAATGTTAGTAGTAATGTAGTTTTCTAAACAAGGAATATATTTTTTGTCACATGTGTCGTTTTTACATAAACATAAGAAAATAATTTTATTTGGCATAAAGAATGTAAAGAAACGTTTAACCTATTAAACATATTAATACTTTCGAACGCAACGCATTACTGCAGTTAATTAATTTAGCAAATATCTAGCAACTGTAATTGTTTGCGGTGTATTGGCGCATCCAAGCCGCGTCTTGTGTTATTGATTCCAGATTTGTTGTCTGCCCATTTTTATGGCCATTGCCGTCTGGCTCCGTTTTGTCTGCCGAGTTTGGCTTTGCCAATATTGGAAAAACGAGGAGAGGAGGCCAACATAGTTGCCATTTCGAGGGGGTGCAGACCTTTGGGCTCGACCAATCGACCAATGGCACCTTTAATGAGTGCCAGAGTGCCAAAGTGCCACACCAAAATCCTCTGACAAATGCAAATTAATCGACATCCGTTCCAGTCTCAAAGAGTGCGAAATGAAGGGGTTAAGAAAAAGTATAAACGAAAAGATACAAAACAGGGAAGGGCTCTCATTTCGAAGGGAAGACAACCATTTCGCCTGTTATCCGACTATCTGCCTCTCGCTATCTGCCCCATAAGAAAACACATATACGACATCATACCAGGCAAAAAAAGTCGTAAGACTGCGCAGATAAGCCGGTCACAAATATTTGCAAAAATAAAAGATGTAAAATAAACAACTAAAATCTCGAAAATATTTTTCAAAAACAAACAACGCGAATCCTCACTCAAATACGAAGGCAAATAAGTAACGTTCGTACGCAGAACTCATTTCCCTATCGCTAAATAAATAAATCGTTTACTCAGGCGATGAGTATTCAAAATGCCCAAGAAGCGAACAAATCGAATTAAGTTTATTTCAGTGTAGTGACTTATTATTTGAGAAATTATTAAGTTGTGGTTTTGAAACTATATTTATTTAATTTTATTTTTCAAATATTTACCATAAGTCTAAATAAACTGATTAAATCCCGCATATTTTGCAATAGCTTTCAGGCATTTTGCAAATGCATTAAGTTTATTATTTATTTCGATTCGTTTCAATCCACTGCGTTTTGGCAGAAAACTATTTAAAGCCTGGCATCATCTCTCGAAATACTCAATATTCAGACACTTTGTGGCAATCCGACAGCAAAAACACGATTCTAAACAAGTTTCTCGCATTAGCAAACATTGAAAGCCTCAACAACAAAAACAACTAATATTGCAATGCAAATGATTATCTGCTTTGCTGTTGTTGTTGTTGTCCGTGCTGCTGATTAATAACAATCAATGCCAGTCAATTAAGCTGAAATCGATTTGGCGAAAATAAAAACCTGTTTTCGCACCGAAGAGATTCCCCGCGTGCCACCAAGAATTCGATTTTTTACCTAGACAAGACAAGTTGCTGGCAATTCTCATCTCATCTACCTGAACTCCATCATTTTGTTTACCCTAAAATTTTCTTCAGAAAAATGGAATTCAAGCCAAAGACATTTATGGAATACATCATTTAGAAGATTAAAGAATTGGTATTTGGCAATATCTAAGCCATATTGTAATTAACTTCTTTAATATGATATATGATTTTTGCTACATATTTTATGAACCGGTTTGTTATAAAAGACTTAAAAAATTTACATCAAAAGAGTAATAAATATAATCCATGTTTTGTGGCGCCACTTACCAATTAGTTTTGTTGGGCCCATTGACCTCGCCAATTGTGTGGGTGGCCACCGAGTAGCCGAAGTGCGAGTGTGGATGTCCGTACTTCACGATCGGTAATCGCTGCTCCAAATTAAAGCCGATGATATTGATCACGCATTGTAGGAATATCAGAATCAGAAGATTTATTTTCAGGGAGAGAGACAGTGTGGAGCGGGACGGGAACTCTTCCATGATTTGTGTGTTATCTTTTGTTATTTTTATAACTTTTACAAATATTTTATTTATTTTTTTTACTTTTAAATGCACGTGCACCGGGCACGGCAAAAGGGGGAGGGGTTTTTCAAACCGCGACCTTCGGCCAACATAAAAAAAACAACAAGTCCGCAGAGATCTTTGGCTCAACAGGTAGTCCGCGTATTTTCCACGCTCTTTTCCGCTCGCTGCAGTTTTCCTTTTATTTTTATTATTCGATTTCCTCTCTTCACGCGCACTCACATTAAAAAAATTAAATTTAATCCGAAGGCGGCAAAAGTATTACTATTACGTCAAACACACGCGTTCGGCATTTTGATAAAGATTCGTTTTTAATCGAATTCCACCGATTCCGGCAATCGTACACGACGGTGGTATGGTATTTCTCTGTTCTCTGGGTTTCGTTACACGCAAGCAACTCGGGCCAACAATAACAAAGTTGAGTGACTCGCGGTATCTTATATAGACTTATGGCTCGAACATTTGCGCTCAAACATGTTCGAACGCCGGGCACTGAAAAAAAAACCCAACTGAAAACCCACAGAAAGGTTTAACTTTAAACAACTTATCAACAATTTATTTTACCAATAAACTTATTTTTTCTTGCTAATATTAACATCCAAAAAAAAATTATTATATTTTAATATTTATTTGTAGTACCAAAGTAAATATAATATATATGAATAACATTAAACTGTTACCATTAACAAAAAATTTTAAAGAAAATTGTTCAAACACATGTATGAATTTTATTTTAAAATTAACCAAATATGTTAAAATCAACTAAAGAATTATTAATTATTATTATTAGTATTTTGCTAATTTCTTAAAACAAGAGGTCTAAAACTAAAATATGTTTTCAAAGCAGCATGCGTGGCATGCGATTATCAATCATGTTGTAAGCAACATGTTGCAATCCTTATAGCAATGACTTTTTGTCAGGTCACAAAGGAAAAACATGCGATTTAAATTTGCTTACAAAAACAGTTAAAGTCTGTATCCATACAAGTTTTCAAAATTGTCGACACAAGTATATAATAATAATCTCTTAAAAGAAACCGCGGTTGGCAAGAAAATACATTTCATACAAGATAGTCATCGCTCGACTCGCAAATACTGAACATTTTTTAATTTTTCGCGTCTTAAAAATACTTACTATTTGCGGCTCTGGTGCTTGCCCTAGACGTCCTCCGTTATCAGTTCCTCTAATATAGGATTCAAATCACTTGCCCGAAAAATTGTATACAACAAATATTTTAAACGAGAATGATGTATTTGCTCAACAAACTCCGAATGACATATATCTTTGACTTTCAATGATTACTGGGTTTTCTGATTTTTGGAAGCAAAATAGAAAAGAATTACATTTGTTTAGTAGTATACAGTATACAGTAAATATATATTTGTATAAATTAATTTTATACAGGTATTATTTTTAGTTACGTAATATTTAATAAAATCAAAAAGTAATTTACTGTCAGAAAAATAATTTAACAATGGTCAAACAAAACCAGGCATCTTGGGTAAAAATTAAAAAGTATAGCTCAATATTTATTTTGTTCATTTAAATTGAGACGAAATATATTGGTAGATCAATAGTAATCGATAGTGGGGGTAGTCTCCTTGGCTTATTCTAGTATATGTTCGTTCTAAGCCGCTGTTGACGTTCTCCAACACTGCGCAGTGTATAGGATTGCGCGCATGTGTATAAATCGATTGAAAAACGGGAAAGCTTTTTGTTCTGGTACAAATCAGAGAATAGAAAGTTTACTTATTGTGGATAAAGTAAAATATATAGTTAAGCTAAATCAGGTGATAGTGTAAGACACCTTTAAAACTGAATACGTTCGTAAAACTGTTGATTTTGATTCCCAAAAGGAGTTGTCCCTGCGGAGATTATTATCGATTTTTAGGAAGCTTGTAAACAACCCCCAGAAAAAGTATCCCCTGAAGAAATGGCTTATGTGAGTTGGAGTTTTTTTGTTATTTATTTTAATTGTTTGTTTCTAATTCGTTCGTAAATTACATCTGCAGCGCTTGAAGGCCACTAAATGTCCCACGGACGAGCTGTCCCTGACCAATCGGGCCATAGTAAATGTGGGCGATTTTCCCGAGGAAGTTAAGTGGGTTATATTATCTTGATATACTATCATATATCCCGTTTATATATATGCTTGTATTCCAACCAGATATGCGGACATATCACCAGCTGCCGGGCAGCACTTCATTTTCGCCCTGGAGAAAACGGTAGAGGTGCCCCGCGGCTATGTGGGCTTCTCTTTGGTCCAGAGAAAGTGGGCCATGGTGTCCATCAACCAGGAGCTGGAGGTGCGTCCCTATCGCTTCGATGCCAACTCGGATGTCATCACCTGTGTCTCCTTCGAAACGGACTTTCTGCAGAAGAAAACGTTAGTGCAGTGGCCATTGATTATGTAATATGGATTTTAGATTAATGCCATTTTGTAGTGTTTCCCAGGAGCCCTACGACTCCGATCAAATGGCCAAGGAGTTCATCATGCAGTTTGCCGGCATGGCCCTCACCGTGGGCCAGTCCCTGGTCTTCAACTTCAAGGACAAGAAGCTGCTGGGCCTGGCCGTCAAATCGCTGGAGGCCATCGATCCCAAGACCCTGGGCGAGGGTAAGGAGCCGGCCATGCGGAATGTGCGCTTCGGCCGCATCCTGGGCAACACGGTGGTGCAGTTCGAGAAGGCCGAGAACAGCTCGCTGAATCTGCAGGGCAAGAGCAAGGGCAAGGTGGTGCGCCAGTCCATCATAAACCCGGACTGGGACTTTGGCAAGATGGGCATCGGCGGCCTGGACAAGGAGTTCAACTCCATATTCCGCCGGGCCTTCGCCTCGCGTGTCTTTCCGCCGGAATTGGTCGAACAGCTGGGCTGTAAGCACGTCAAGGGCATCCTGCTCTATGGTCCACCGGGCACGGGCAAAACCCTGATGGCCCGCCAAATTGGCACCATGCTGAATGCCCGCGAGCCGAAGATCGTCAATGGGCCGCAGATCCTCGACAAGTATGTGGGCGAATCGGAGGCCAATGTGCGACGCCTGTTTGCCGAGGCCGAGGAGGAGGAGAAGCGGCTGGGGCCCAACAGTGGACTCCACATCATCATCTTCGACGAGATCGATGCCATCTGCAAGCAACGAGGCTCCGTGGCGGGCAACAGTGGGGTCCACGACACCGTCGTCAATCAGCTGCTGACCAAAATCGATGGCGTGGATCAGCTGAACAACATCCTGGTAATCGGCATGACCAATCGGCGGGACATGATCGACGAGGCACTCCTCCGACCCGGTCGCCTGGAGGTCCAAATGGAGATCAGCCTGCCCAACGAGCAGGGACGCGTTCAGATCCTGAATATCCACACCAAGCGAATGCGGGACTTCAACAAGATCAACGACGATGTGGACAACAAGGAGATTGCCTCGCTGACCAAAAACTTCAGCGGAGCCGAGCTGGAGGGATTGGTGCGTGCCGCGCAGTCCAGTGCCATGAATCGGCTGATCAAGGCCGATGCCAAGGTCACGGTCGATCCGGAGGCCATGGAGAAGTTGAAGGTGAATCGGGATGACTTTATGCACTCGCTGGAGAACGATATCAAGCCGGCCTTTGGCACGGCCCAGGAAATTCTCGACAACATGCTGTCGCGCGGTGTGGTCAACTGGGGCACTCCGGTGAGCAATCTGCTCGAGGATGGCATGCTGCTGGTGCAGCAGGCCAAGGCCCCGGAGTCGAGTGGCCTGGTGTCCGTGCTCGTGGCCGGTGCCCCCAACTCCGGCAAGACCGCTCTGGCCGCCCAGCTGGCCAAGATGTCCGACTTCCCGTTCGTGAAGGTTTGCTCGCCCGAGGACATGGTCGGTTACACCGAGTCGGCCAAGTGCCTGCACATCCGCAAGATCTTCGACGACGCCTACCGTTCCACGCTCAGCTGCATCGTGGTGGACAATGTGGAGCGTCTGCTGGACTACGGATCGATTGGACCGCGCTACTCCAACATGACACTGCAGGCGCTGCTGGTGCTGCTCAAGAAACAGCCGCCCAAGGGCCGCAAGCTGCTCATCCTGTGCACCTCGAGTAGGCGGTAGGCACTGGCACTGATCCTCCTATATTCTCCCGATCTTATGTTATGTTTTTCCCCAGGGAGGTTCTCGAGGAGATGGAGATGCTGACGGCCTTCACCTCGGTGCTCCATGTGCCCAATCTCTCACAGCCGGATCATGTTTTGGCCGTGCTCGAGCACACTGACATCTTCACCAAGGGCGAAATCCAGGCGATTGGCAAGAAGATGTCCGGCAAACGGTAGGAATTTAATTTTAACTCTGTTTTTTTGGGGGAACTAGCAATCTATTGCTAAAACTTAAATATACATAATGAATATCATTAGTGATGTTAGGACTTATTTTAAAGTCTCTAATATCTTAAATGGTTTTACATAAAAAAAAAAGAAAGAACGAAGCTTTAAAACGGCTTACTTTAAACTATATTAATTTCCATCAAACTTATAACGTTTCCCCATTCATTTCATAACAGTTATTTAAGAACCATAACTTAAAAATAATAATATTAATATATTTTTATTTTGAAATCCATTTGCGGTTTCTCTCAAATGAATTATTTATTTTACTGAAAGTATTTTTATTTTGCGTATTGATTTTTTAAAATTTCCTTTAGTTTGATTAAATTTGTGAAACAAGATATTTGCTTTCGATCATAATATGTCGTTTGCCTTGTATACTTTAATTTTTTGTATTATATTTTGTATCACTTTTAAATAAGAATTGTTGTTAAAAGACATAGGCTTTTCTTAAATAATAGAATATGCTATAATATTGAATCTTCTTAAAAAAAATATTTTTTAAAATATATTTTTAAGGGCTAATGTATGGCCTTCAACACTTCATTTAATAAGCCAATTATTGATAATCTTTTCGATTTTTCTAGCGTGTTTATTGGCATCAAGAAACTTTTGGACCTAATCGACATGGCTCGACAAACCGAGCCGTCGCAGCGGGCCATCAAGTTCCTGTCCAAGATGGAGGAGGAGGGCGGCCTGGACATGGTGGCGCGACAGTGAGGCATCTGAAGATGGATGTGTGTTTGATGGAATGCTGTCTCAATTATTAGCTTCTAAGTGCAAATGGACGGGCAAAAGTGGAATCCCCATCCATCAGATCAGAAGCATTGACTCCATGTACACATATAAACTGCAAAACTTATACTATATAGACAGACATATATATATATATATATATATATATATATATACGATCCAGGCTTCGCGTTGTTTGTTCGATCCCGAACCCAGACTAAAATCCACATCCACATCCCGGAGGAGTTTCCTGTGTTTCTGAGTTCCCCCACAGAGCACAATCAAATCAGACAGATATGTGAGACCCGTGACCTGAAGATGTTGGCATATAAAGCATAATACGGCAGAGTGGACAGATACTCAATTACATTTATAAATAACATGCGTAGCTGCTAAACTCGTTATTAGCATGATAATCTTTCTCGTTACCTTTTAATTTTAGGAATTGCTTCAGTACATTCCCAGATCGGAAGAAAACACCAAAGTTTTGCCTCTGGCATTGTGAAAGTTGTTTATCGGTAATTTAACGACCTAACTAATTAATTAAATATTTATTAAATCAAATATTGTTAACCGCCAATGTTATACATATATCTTAAATAAAGAAAACGATCTCAAATTCCATCTTAGCTGTCTCGCCTTTACACTTATGTTTTGTATTAAATCCTATTAAAAAAACAAAAAAGTAAAAGGGTATATGGTATTACATATTTAAATTTGATTTATGTATTTCCCATATTATATAATTTATAGCAGAAATATTTTTAAAATTTATGAAACTCTATTAATATTTTCGTTTCGTTTATTAATAGAATTCTTTGATTTTGAAATATATATTCAAACTTTTATAATTTTATCAACCCCTATCCTATATTGCCATTTGAATATACTTACTTAATATTGGGGAGGTTGGACCCCTCTGGATGATAGGATTTTCCCAGGGTAGCAGTGTTTATCAGCAAAAGACAGGACCTTTTTTAATGACTTGACGATTTCTTCATTTTATTTCGTTTAGAAAAAGCGACACACAATATTACTCTAAATTGTTTCATGTTTTCTGTTCCTTGGACTTATTTGTGCAACAATAAACAAAATATAAATATTTGATTTTATTTTCGGTTTGCTAAAACCGTTTTGTTACTGTTCCTCAGTTTTGGAACTTTTTGTTTTTTTTTTGCAGTGCGCAACAACAATATTTATTTTTGTTATCATCATTTTTTGAATGTTTCTTTTTACCAGGTTAGGTTTTTAAAAAAAATGGCAATCAAAGGAGGTAAATGGATGTTTAGGGGAAGGAAATGTAAGATTACCCTCTAAGCCATTGCCAAATGAAAGCTAGAAAACAAATAATGGATCCAAGAGAAAATCATAATTTTAAAATTGTTTTTAAAGCGTATTAGTTTTTAGGACGAAATACTCTGTTTGAAAAATGCATGTTTTTATTTTTTTAAACTATATTTTGTGGTGGACAAAAAGAAATTCTGGCAATGGCATCTCCTTTGCTTAGCTTAATAGTTACATTTTTGTGATTTTGTTTTTTAAGTTTAGTTTTTAGTTTCTGTTTCGATTTGTTAACAATTGTTTCTTCCAGTTGGAGCCAATCGGTCCATCTCTCGTTGTGCTTCTTCTTCCTCCTTTTTGTAACTCCCCATATCTTCCTCTTCTTCATCCCTTACTATTTTTTTTGATCCTTGTCTGTTGCTCCTTTTTGGGTTTTTGAGGTGCTCCTTTACAGTTATGTAGCGATTTAGAGAGAGACGGCTATAGACAGCTAAAGGTACACGAGTACAAATACAATTACAATTACAGCGATATTACAGTTAACGGTTAGCGGTTAAACGGGTATTCCAGAGTTTTCCCGATTCACGCCTTTCGGGTCCTGCCCAAGGCCGTATGTTTGTGTTTAAGCTTGAATCTGTTTCGGTTTTTTGTTGTTTGCTTTTTTATTAAAATTGTTCAATTTCTTTTGTGTTTTTATTTACATATAATAATAGTTTTACTTCATTTCAGACATTTGTTGAACATCGTTATCGTTACACACACACGGTGAAATACACATGTGCATTTTCTATATATATTCATATATACGTGTATATATATAAAGGGTTATTATTGTAACAGTTATTAGGTATACATACGTATATAAGATCTCGGCAACATTTAACAACAATTTTCTCTTATTCGTTTTAGTTTATGTTTTTTGTGTGTGTTTTTGTTTTTGCTCTGCACTCGATTTTCATTTTCTCACATTTATTGCACAATATATATATTAAGATATATATAGAATTCTTTAAATAATATTATGTTGTACTTGAATCTTGGACTAAACTATAAATTGTACAAAAAGATTTCTCAGTTTTTTGCTTTTGTTAAGTTTTCTCATATCTTAAGTCAACTAAAGCATTCTACATAACACCTAATCCTCTCTTCTCTCCCTCTCTTTCTCTCTCTCTCGATCTCTATCTCGGGTGGGCGGGATAAGTGGGCGTGGTGGGGTTTATATTTTAAGGTTGAACCTTACCTACAAAAAAAAACACACACGCTTCTTACTTGCACCTGATCTCCTTTTAACTCTCATTAACAGTTTACTGATTCTATATCCTTTTAACACACTTACTTAAATAATAATAATAAAATCAAAAGATACATGGAGTTGCGTGTGTTTGTATGTGCGTTAAAATACCTCTCATCTCACCTTAAAAAAAAAACAAAAAAAAAATCTCTCAATTCTACAACTAAATTCTCACCATAAACTATATATATATTTATATATATATATTAATAAAAACTACCCAATTTTTGACGGGTTATCCTTTTCTAATTTTTATAATTATTTCTTTTTTGGAGGCACAGCCACCATTTTGAACTTTAGGCCCTGTTCTGCTTCTTTAACTATTTACCCCTACTACATTTTCGATGTTTCTCTATTCCGAGAGGCGGTTAATCTTACAGGTTATAGATATAGGGGAATTTGGGAATATAATTGTCGATCGATCGAGTGAGAGAGATAGGATGTTGGCTATAGACGATCAATGACAACGACAACAATTGTAAGCGAGCGCCACAACAACAACAGCAACAACAATCAATTCAACTACAACAAATAACTAAATGTGCATTGAGCAGCTTGCGGCTACGCCCCCTCGCCATCACCTCAGCCACGCCCACAAATTCTAGCTACGCCCTTCCACCATGCATCCATTTTCCGCCTGCGTCGCCTCCTATTTGGTTTCATCCTGATCCATCGGCTCCTCGGAATCATCGCGGGATAGAGTTCTGTAACAAAGAAGCTAATTAATTTTTGTCAAATTTTTAAAAGAATTATATAAATAAAATAATATAATATTTCTTTTAAATATCAGTTATATATATATATATTTATACTTTTATAAGATTTTTAAAGTACAAGTACAAGATTTTGGGTAATAATTCGAAAAAAAGTAATGGCTTTGTTCTCATAAAACCTTTTATATAAAACAAATCTTAATTAGCACAAACAATTGAAGTTAAGAGTCATGAGTCCCATGAGCTTTTTATGTTTTTGATCAGATCAAGTAGATTAAGTTAGCCAACCATGATTTGATTTACTCGCATCTATGTTTACTTTAAAAAGTGAGTCAAAGAAGGGCTCTAGATTCTATACATTTTATGTCCAGTGCCTTGCCGAATACCCACCTGTGCATCGACTGCATCGAGAGGCCGGCCATGGCGTTGATCGTCTCGGACTCGTCGTGCTCCACTTTGAGCGTCTCCAGTGCGGACAGACCCACCGTGTGCTCCAGCATCCTCACGCAGGGCCAATGCGTTTGCTGCAAAACCAAACCGATAGTCAAGTCAAATAGCCCACATCGGATCTAAGATGCCAGGAACCCACCTGAATGGCTATCGTCTTCTGGAGCGTGTTGATGGCATTCTGGCAGGGCGGACGTTCCAGTTCGGCCTTGGCTATGGGGGCGGCGGGATCGCCGAGCAGCGCCCGCACGCACTCCTGGGCGGAATCACAGATGGCGGCCAGGTCGTAGCCGCCCTCGAGGGCCAGCACCACCTTGCCGTTGGCCAGCTGGAGGAGTTCGCGGGTCATGAACCCGAAGCAGGCCGGCGAGACATGGTAGCCGCCCAGCGGAGCCGGATGGCCGGTGGCCGCATCGAAGCCGGAGGAGACCAGCACAATGTCCGGATTGAAGCTCCGCGCGATGGGCATCACAACGGTACGGAATGCAGCGATATACTCGGCGTCGCCCAGCGGCGGATTCAGTGCCCCAGACCACGAGATGTTCACGTTGAAGCCGAGACCAGCACCGGAGCCGCACTGCAAGCGATTAATCGTGCAATTAGATCTATTGTTTAATCACCTATGGTTGGTTAGGCACTTACCTCTGTGGGTCCGCCTGTGCCGGGAAAAAAGTTACCGTCATCGTGTCGATGAATGGAAAGATATAGAATGTCGGGACTTTGGTAGAATGCTTGCTGTGTGCCATTGCCATGATGCACATCCTGCAAGGAGAGGTAAGGGTTTTAGTTTCAAAAAGGCATTTGGTTAGCAATCTAGGAAATTTTAAAACGTTTAAACTTGAAAATTTTAAATTCTGAAGAATAACGTTTTTTAGACTATTTTAGGACCATTACATGGTGCTATTTAACAACATTTTTTTTTGACATTTGTTGTTTCAAATGATCCGCAAAACAAAATCAGTAAAAGAACATTTACTTGTCACTTATTATTTGTATCTAATAAAGTGATTCAAAATGTCTTTAATAGTTTTCGAAAATAGTGGCCCTGCAACTGGGGGTACTTCTTGAAGGGCATCTTACCGCCCATTTGGGCCTTAGCTCACTTTTTTAAGTGAGAAATTCGCTTTCACACATACACACTCACCCAATCGACGATGAGGATGCGCCGCACTTCGGGCATTCGCTGGCGCAGCAGCTTGGCCGCAATGGCGATCGAGTTGAAGAAACAAAAACCCATGGCCAGATTGGCCTCCGCATGATGGCCCGGCGGCCGGACGACGGCGAACCCGTTCCGCAGATCACCCTTGGCCGTCTTCAGGGCCAAGTCGATCACACAGCCGGCGGCCATGCGGGCAGCAGTCGCCGTGTGGTGCTCATTCCACGTGGTGTCGAGATCCACGCCCAGACCGCCGCACGACAGACGGACAAAGCTGGCCGACAGGGCGTTGTTCTCCAACTTGGGCCTGCTCAACTGGCACTGGTTGGAGCCGAAGAGCATGGCATGCGCCTCCGTGTGCACCATCTGCAGCTCCTCCTGCGTCGCCTTGCGGGCGCGCAGTCGATCGCATCGCTTCACCAGATCCGTCTCATTCAGCCGCGCCCACACGCTCTGCAAGCGGCCACTGTGCTCCGGATGCTGGGCATTGTCGCCGCAGATGCACGAGTGCTTCAGCATCAGCGGGTCGTAGGCCAGTCCGGTGGTCACCTTGTGCGGCGGCGACGATCCGCTCGCCGGTGGCTGGCCACCATGATGGCTGCCATGACGCAACTGGCTGCTGCTGCCGCTGCCACTGCCACTGCCACTGCCACTGCTGCTGCTGCTGCTCGCGTACAGGGTGCTCATCATCTGGCGGTGCTGGCGATTCGGCAGCGAGAGGTTCACGGGCGGTATGTGGTCGGCCGACGAGGACGTGGCTATCGGCGCTGGCTGCTGGCCCGTGTCCGGTATCTGGCTGAGACCGTGCGGCCCCACCGGCACCAGCGGACTGCTGAGCGTTCGCGAAAGCGGTCGCATCAGGCCCTTGGCCAACTCCTCCTCCTGCTGCAGCAGCAGTAGCTGCTCCCGCTGCTGCTGCAGATAGCCCTGATCGTGCAGCTTCCTTATGCCGGAATTCAGCACGGCACCGGAGGAGTTGCTGGCGCTGGAACTGGCACTGGCACTGGCACTTGACGTGGAGGGCGGGGCGGAGCGGTAGGCGGCTGCGGCCACTGCGGCGGCCAAAGCATCGGGCAGATTCTGGGACGTGCTGGTGGCTATCGTGCTGGTCAGCACCGTCTTCGGCGGCTTCTTCTTGTCGGTGAGGTCCATCACCTCGGCGGCCGAGTCGTCGTCCTCCTCCTTCAGTTGCGCCTCGCGCACCACCACCGCAGCGGCGGCGGCAGCAGCTGCCCCACTGCGGGTGAGGACGGTCTGGCGGAGTTTCTGGTTCAGCACCTGGTGCTCATATGCCTGGCGCTCTGCCTGAGAAATCAAATTAAACAAAATCGATTAAAAATAGGAATTAAATAAGGGGAAAATTGTAAAAGTTTAAATCAAGCGAAGAATGCCTGATTATAATTGAACAATTTTAAAGATATAATATAAGTTAGAATGAGCTATATAATTTAATATACGTTTAAATTATTATCAAGTTTTAATAAAAAAAAATCTAGTTATAATATTCTTTCAAGAAAAAATTTGAATTAACACCCAAAAATATTCATATCAACGACAATGGTCAATTAACAAAGTAATGTTATACCCTCGTAAAGCTTCCAATAAAATTTCAAAGCTAGACATTTTTATTTTGTTTATTTATATTACTTATTGATTTAAATATCAAACTGGCAGCCACTCACCTCACTATTCTCGTAGTGCGTTTGGACCACATTCAGCTGGCCGGCCCCGGTGAGCATGGGATGACCCAGCGGCAGCGGAGCGGACTGCGTGCGTCCCAGCGGCCGGTGGCCCTGCTTGTGCAGATGCACCTGCGCCACCTGGGCATCCGTGATGGGCACGTTGTGCTGGTGGTGGCCTCCGTAGAGGGCGTGCGCCTGTCCGCCGTGTCCGTGGGCATGGCTGTGTGGTGCCCCGTGGACGCCATGGGTGCCATGGGTGCCATGTCCGTGGGCGCCGTGACCATGACCATGGCTATTGGTCGGCGGCAGTGATCCGGCGGCGGCGGCTGCCGCTGCTGCGGCCGCTGCAGCCACGGCGGCCGCATGGAGATTGACCGCCGATGAGCTGGCCATGCCGCCCAGCTGCTGCATGTAGGACGAGGACGGGGGCAGAATGGTGGAGGCGGCATGGGCCTGCGGTGGCGCCACATCGCCCACCAGCGAGGCCTGTGACGAGGATGTCGAGGTGGCGGAGGCACTGCGCACCACCGGCGACGGCTGCTGCGGTGCTATGCCCGTGGCCGGAATCATGGCCAGCGGCGCTGGTGGCGGCTGACGGCCCAAGAAGGCCATGCTCAAGGGATTGTAGTAGCCACCCGGCTGCCCACCGCCGCCCCCGGCTCCCTGGGCGGCGGCCACATGCTGATGCAGGGCCGCAAACATGGCATAGTTCACCTGGGCCGTTGCCTGTGCCTGAGCTTGGGCCTGAGCTTGAGCCTGAGCCTGAGCCTGCACCTGGGCCGTCACCTGGGCATGCGAATGCACCGAATTGGGTAAATGCGGCCGACCCAGCGATATATTGGGCAGCGATGGCGAACTGAACAGCGGCAAGTCGTTGATGCTGCTCCGCGGACCCGGTTGGTATTGGCTGCCCTCCTCGTTCTCCTCCTGGATGGGTGCACTGGTCGGCGAGCCACGGCTACCGACCACGCCCACCGCCAAGGCGGCTGCCGAGGGCGGCGAATTGGGTCCCGAATCCGGTGTACTGTTGCAGTCTACGGATTATCGAATGGGTTAAAATGTAATAAAATACTGATTAATCGTGATTTGGTTGTAGTAGGAACTGGGTTAATTTGGCTAAGCAAGTTGGACATTTGGGGTTAATTAAACAGCAATAAAGACAATGGTAAAAACAACAATTAAACGATAAACACAACGATTAAAACAACAAAATTTAACAGTGAAACAACAATGATCAATTGAAAAGTTATGGAGGTATATGTAACCCTTTTAATAACTTTACATTGGAATACTTATAAATAAGAAGGTATATGTGATTTCCTTGGTTCTAAGCTGATCAATTAAGGGAGCATTTCTTTATAAAAAAACTTAGGTTTATATTCTCAATTCTTTTACAAGTCAAACCCTCTTCAACCATATTCCAATTACTTTTATTAAAAGCTAGATTATAATTATATATATCACTATAATCAAAAACGCGGTAACTGATTAAAGTCCAAAAATATATGGTTTTAAATAAATATAACCTGTATAATTTCTAATTTCTAAATATTGTTAATATTTGCTATAAAAAATGTAAGAGATAAGCAAATTGATATCATTTATTTAATGATAATTATTTAAATGTTATTTAAGTTTCGCCTAAAATGGGAACAACTAAAACAACAACTAAGCTTAATGGTAATTATTTATTGGTTTACTGATAACTAAAAACCAATAAAAAAATAAAAGTTCAATTTGTTTTAAACTAAAACTAAAATTATTTAAATAATATGTAAGTCCATTTGGAATGGAAACTCGTAAAACAAACTATTCAACCAATACGCTAAGCTTTTTTTAACTAGTCAAAATTATTTTAATGTTATGAAGTCCATTTGGCATTTCAAACTTATAAAACAACATGTCAACTGACTCCCTCCCTATATCTTCCTCAGATTTCCGATTTCTGATTTCTGATTTCCGCTCTGATCATTCGGATACGAGACCGTACAAGTGTGATTCGAGATGCGAGTGGATGGGATACGTACTTGTGAGAACGGAGTTCTTCTGCTGCCTGCGCTGGGCCGCCTGAAGGAGGCGTTCGTGGCGCCGGGCTCCCGCCGGTCCGCCAATGCGGGCCTTGCGATCGATGACACTCTGCTTCAGCCGGATCTTCAGCAGGTTCGGTTCGGATGCTGTTGTGGGAGCGGTTCACACAAGTGTTTGGGTTAGTTAGAGGTTAGGAGCTTTGGACTTATAATTACAGGCAGCTAGCTCTGCTTTTAAAAAACAAACTTGCAGTTAGTAGTCAGATCCATGCTTTTTGTACATTTCTATCTAGCTAATATCTTCCTGAATTTCTCAATATTACTAAACGAATTGCGACCCACTGCTAACTTTTCCTAAATTATTTACATACAATTTCAAAATTGTTTGATCTTTTTTAATATTACACTGGATCCATGCTATTCTGTATTTTCTCCTGAATTTCTGAAAATTATCCATTAATGTCCGAAGGCTTTATTTAACAACTGCTTTACTAGTTAAAAATTATATTTCAACTTGATAAAGTTTAATACAAGTGCTGTAAATCAATATTTGATAGTCTAGTTTCTGCAGAGTTTACCAGTAAAACTAGTCAGTAATATTTATTTAAATGTTTAAATAAGCGTATAAACGAATTTAAAAATGGAAGACCCTTAGGAACCTTTGCTTTTACCCCATATTTATTTGATGCAACTTTGTTGCTAAATCAACTGTTTCATAAGTGAACTTCAACTTGAGCAAGACTCTTACCTAAGAGCCAATCTAACCCAACCCCAAACGGACCCATCCATTATATCCAGGTGTTGCCCAACGAAAATTATCTAAAGAACACATCCTCTGGCATTTGGGTTACGTGCCCCAAGAAAGTATTGTATATACTTTTATCTGTCAATTTAATGCAAAAATTGTTCCTTATACCCTTCTGTTTTCCCATATCTTTTTTGCACCCCCTTTTGTGGTTAGACAATAATAATAAATCGAAGTTACAGCAGCGCAGTAGTGTCAGGCAAAAAACGGATTTTAATACGGAATTCAGGCGGCAAAAGCTAAAGCTTTCATTCATTGCGTTGCGTTGTCCTTTCCTTCGTCATCCTGCCGACACGGCAATAATATTCAAGGGCCCACCACACGGTGGTGATTATCACACTCACCTGTCTTCCTCAGCGGAAAATCAGATTCATATTTGAGCAGTGAGGAGGGCGGCTGAGGTATTTTGTAGGGATGTGCACTGGTCACGGTTCCCGCTGGGAGGGATTCGCCCGAGGAGCTCTTCACCACGCCACTGCAAAGGAAATAAGTAAGGATTATTTATGGCAACATTAAAACTGGGAATGGAAATGGTCGGTGGGCATTTAAATATGTGTATATATTTATATTGCATTTGAGTTGGTTTAAAGGCATTTGTTGTGGTAAATAATATATTTTTCTGGAATTTCCCTATTTAATTTTCGATTGTTGTGTTCGGTTTCCAAAGAATGTGTTGTGGTTATAACTGTGGGGGGTAGTTAACCTAGTATATACTTTCTTTTAACTTATAAATGGCACATTCAAACATATAACACATTCAAATATATATTGATAAATTTAATAGATTTTATAAATGGTCACATTGTACAGTAAATTTATGAATTTGCAATTAAGTGTGGTAATTAATTCTTTTTGTTTGCAAATACATTGCTCAAGAAACACTATTAAAACACTATTGATGATGTTTTTACTGCCATTTTTTGTGTGTATTTTAGTTCTCAAAAACCATTTTCTAAAAAGATTTATTTGTTTGGAATTTATTGTATACCTATTAATTTAAAATTTATTTCAACGTTAAGTGTTTAGATGTTTATTTACTTTATAAGAATTTAAATAGATTGTGTTTGCCTTAAAATAAAAAAAAAAAATATCTTTAAAAGAAAATATTTGAAATGTTTAAAGAATACGATTTTGGTAACCAGACTAATTTAGCAGCATTAAAAAAAGGCTGTTCAAAATGGCACTAAAAAGTTCTTTAAAGTTTAAAGCATTGTACATATATCTTTAAAGTCTAGATATTAGCTTTATTTATAGTTGTAATAATTTTCTCTTGCATTCAATATATGTTTTTCATTATACATAATTTTTTTAAAATTAATATAAGTCAGTAAAGTCCCATTTCTTACCGATTTCGATAGGGCGACGTTGTGCCATTTGAAGTCGCCGCCTGCGACTTCCTGCTCATGATGAAGCACTGCCAAAGGAATGGGAATATGATTAGATCAGCTCAGGTCATTTGGGGATCTTAATCCTAAGTGGACTAGAGATTTGCGATATCTTACGTTGAGAATCTGTTTGACCTCGGGACTGGCATTGGCGCTGCAGTGCTTGAGTTTCATTCCGCGTCCCTGTTGCTGCTGTTGCTGTTGATGTTGCTGCTGCTGTTGATGTTGCTGCTGTTGCTGCTGCTGCTGCTGCTGCTGCTGCTGGTGTTGCTGGTGTTGGCGGTGTTGCTCCGCTGCTGTTGCCGCCGCGGTGGCTGTCACCATGCTATCGGTTCGCAATTCCTGGAAAGCGCCATGTGAATTCACCGCAAACTGAATAATTAGAATAAATTCAAGAGAGAATCGTTTGTTTGTTTGTTGTTTCTTATATTGTGCTGATCAGAGGAGTAAACAAAACTATTGCATTATTGTTGGTCATGTTCTATTATTGTTGCTGTTACTATCTTATCTTATCTTAATTGTATTCATTTGAAAAAAGAAAACTATTTACGATTGCTTATTCCAAAAATCCACAGTTTATGGTTTATTTATGTTATATATTTTTTTAAATGACCTTAAGGGTTGTTAGTTACATCTGTTTATTTGATTTTAAATTTAACTTGATATAGGATCTAGTTTCGTGAACACATCTTGAGTTTGAAAATTGTTAACGTCGAATAAAATAGAGAGCCTCCGTTAGAGATATGTATAACGATACATTTTCAGAAACATTTAAGACCTGTGCGATATGTCTATATACCTATGTATATATATACACACTATATATATATATTGTTAACGATGGACTTAGTCATCGCACAAGACGCTTCCGACACTTCCGGCACGATAATATAATATATATTTCTTATAATTTATAATTTCAATTCTCTTTTACTTGCTGTTTGTTTTTATTTTCTCATTTTCTGTCTGTCGCCCCCACACAGCCAGAGTCATATTCATCACATCATCATCATTATTATTATTTATGTATAGAGACGAACAAAAAAAAATAAGAAGCTACAGCAAGAACAAGAGTAATATAACATCAACATACATAGCTGCGTCGTTTACTCACTTGATACTTGTGCTCCAGTTGGATCTTATGCTCCAATTCCATTTGCTTCGATTGCTCCTGAAACGTGTGGAAAAGCCTTTGCTTTTGCAATTCCTGGCTCTTCTTGAGCTGCAAACAAAAATAACAAAAATAACCAATTTTACAATTCAATAGAGTTTGTGTTTTAGGTGAATCTTTGAAGAGAAGTAAAATAATATAAAATGTGACGCAAAAGATCGTCTATACTTCTTGTTGCGCTATCAATTTGCGCTATCTTACACACTAACAATCAATCTAAAATACAAAAAGTACAATAAATGGGAGTCCCACTCTATTTCTATCTTTACATCACTGAGTTGGTGTTTTGATCAACAAAAAGTGTATTCCAAAGTATTATTTTGTATCAATTTGAAACGAAAAATATCCTAAATAGCTTATTATTTAAAATATGAAAGTCTTAAGTTAGTTGCCAATTTCGGTTCACTTTGTAAAGGAATTTGAATTCTTATATGTACATATTACCGATCATAGACATATCATACATAGATCACAGATAACTGACAACAAATCATAGTTTACTGATCAAAAAGTTTATCAAAATAGTTCAGTGATTAACCATTACAAAAGTTAATTCATTATTGATTACAATCAAAGTAAGTCATTCGATCAGTTTTCAAATTTCCACTCAATATCATCTTAATTTTGTGTGTTCGTCTGGCTAATTCGGTTGTCCGTCTTCCTGATCACTTCGCCTCTTCGGATGTGTCATAATATTTGCATATTTCCCATGACCTTAGCAATATGTTTTCTACTTTTTCTTTACCTCTCTCACGCTCTCTAGTTTTCTCGCTGTGTATGATTGGATCTGTGTGAGTGTGTGTATGAGTGTCATCCCCCACGCAGTCACACCATGCAAAAATAAACGGGAAAATAAATAAATAAAGCAAATTCTGTTTATCTCTCGTTTTTATTTGATTTGTCTTGTTAAAATCGGATTTTCAGGTGAAATAAAAGGTGTTCTCACTTTTTTCAGCTTACTTCACTCAATAAATAACATTTGGTTTTCGCTGCCAATTTTGTTTTATATATTTCTTTGTTTTCTAATGTGGTTTTTTGTGTAGTTTTTGTCTGTTTGTTTTCGATATTTTTGGTTTATAATCTTCTTTGACCAGACACTTTTTCGTGGAATTTCCGAAATCTGCGTGCTTGGTTAACGTTGAATGGGCTCTGAGTTTTTAAATGTTTTGATTTTGCTATTGCTATTGATTTTTCTTTTATTTGTATATGTATTTTTATTTTAATTTTTTATTGTTTTATTTGTGTTTTCTTTTTGGCGTTTGGCGCGTTCGCTTTGGCCTCGGCATTCGCTGGGAAATGAGGGAGGCACTTTCATTTCAGTTTCACTCGGCCGACTGGCCCAACTGGCGAAAAAATCAAATATAAACACACAAATTTCGAAACAGTTACGATGCGATGGGATGTGCCAGAGAAAGAGAAAGAGCGCCGCCAGAAGAGCACAAAGCGGAAGAGAGATGAAGAAAGGGGGGAATGGGGAATGGGAAAAGGGGCGACAGAGAGAAAAACTTGGGTAGACAAATGGGCGTTTTGGGTTCTTAGATAAAGGAACCGTCAACAACATCATTACTCAAACATATCAACAATCGCATCTTACACGGCAAAAAATGAATCAAAACACTGCTGTGTGACAAAAGTTTAGGCTGAAAAACTAAAAAGGCACCACAAATGTAAACCAAATTGTTTTTTATGTTTCAATATTAAGTCAATAGTTTTTATATTTTTAAAATAATACAAAAAAAAAATATATATATATATATATTTCCAAGATTTATTAAGACTAGGAATTCAAATAGACAAAAATATCGCGATACATTCGGATGACCAGAGGTCAGTACTCGCCACATCAGCTACTACACGATTTAATGTTTCTGTGTACAAAGAAGGAACCTCTACCATATGCCACATCGATTCCTAGGAAACTGCAATCTCCGCCCCCCAAAAGCACCCACCATCCCCTGCAGCGACGCCCGCTTGCACAACATTCGCCAGTTGCTATGGCCAATGCTATAATTATAAATACCTGCGCTATAATTATAGCGGGGCAAAAGACAACACACAGGCACGCCCATATAAATAGAAACAGGGCGGATCGGAGCGGGTTAAAAAAAAAATGTAAAATAGAAGAAGGGCGGAGGAACACACAAACAAATGAAAGCGGAAAAATGCAGTGTCTACCCTCACTTAATGATCATCCAAGTGTGATGATGATGATTTGGATTGAACAAGGAATTTCCGGAAATTGGTAGAAAAATAGATTCACTGGAATCGCTGAGTAATCGATCACAGCTTGATTTAATTTTAAATAAGTAAAAACGATTGTTTTGTTTTTTAAGTGGATAATTATAGTTGCAAGTGATAAATTAACATTTCAAGATATTGCTTAATACGAAACTATTGTAAAGCTCAAAGTCAGCTGGTTTGCTTTTTATTTGAGTAGTATCTTAAATGTTATCCAATAATTTATAGTTATTGAACCCTTAAATCCCCCAATGTTATACTTTAACCAAAAAAACCAATGTGTTGAAGAACTTTTAAAGATCTTAAGTTGCTCTTAGGAACCATCATCATTAATAGATCAAATTCCGATAAGTAGATGGTTTGAGAACATTGTATCTGGTTTCTATATATCTTTCTTTCCGATTACCCCCTCTTCCCACCGCCATTGAATTCCAATCTTCACGTTTTCTTTTCCCAAATGCAAAACTATTTTTGCCTAATTTGTGTGCGAAGATCAAAGATCAATGATCATCTTCATTAAGATCTTGTCAACCCTCCACCCACTCCACCTCACCCCACCACCCACCCACTCCCCCATCAATTTTTGCTAATTTGCATTTTGCTCGTGCCACCGAAACCAAAAAAAAAAAAAAAAAAAACGAGAAACTAAAACAGAACACAAAATGCTAAAGAAAAATAGACTGAGGAATTCTTTAAAACATTTTCACTTATTGGCAATTGTTTGTGTGTGCGTGATCCAACTAGCCAAGTTTGTGTGTGTGTGTGCTTGATAAAAATAAAACCCGCAGAGTTTATAAAAGAACCAAAATAAATTCAAAGGAAAAACCGAAAATAACAAAAACGGCAAACGCGTTGATGAAAATCGAAGGCAGCATAAATAAGGATGAAAATGGCCAAAGTACACCGAAAACAAAACATTGATAATTTAAAATATTAGTTTCAGATTTGGGAGTTACAAAAAAATAATGAAATCTTCTTTATAAGATATATTGGTGAAATGGATACAAATATTTTTTCTTTATATGTATATATATTTTTAAAACATCTTTATTTTATAAATTCTTATTAATTTTATTCACTTACTAACAAATAAAATACTATGATATCAAAGACTATTATCTTGTTATATAAAATCTTTGCAATAAAGATTGGAATTTCTTTCTGTGCATACAGTGAGGTTGAAAAAATGGTGGGCGGTGGGGAGCGGCAGGCAGAAAAAGAAGAAGACCATGTCGAACATAAGGCTGCATATAAAACACTCTTTAACCCTAAAAATAAAAATTTCAAACGAAAACAAAACAAAAGAAATGTGACGGTGAACCAACAAAAAAAAAACCTAAAAAAAAACACAAATTACGACAAAAATAAGAAAGCAAACTGCAGCCAAAATCGAGGCATAAATAAATCCCCGAGACTATAAATTGAATGCAAGCAGCACTGAAATAAGAAGAAGCGGGCCACAAAGAACAGGGGCGTTGGGGAGAAGGGCGTGGCAGAGGCGGTGGAACAGAAGGGGATGGAGGGGGTCGAGCAGGTGGGCCTGCTGCTGCACATGCTGGCCATCATGCCCGGCTACAGTGGGTACAAGTCAAAGAGACAGCCGAAAAAGAAATGCCTAAAAAATTGGACCTAGTCATAAGAACATGAATTTAAAACAGTCTTAAACAAATAAACCTATGTTGAATACTTATAAGCAACTTTAAAACTAAACAATTTAAGTTTTTAATATGAATTAAATATGAACCTAAAGTGGTTTTAGTTTTCTTTAGATTTTTGTATTGGTTAAAATATCCTCATATTTTCCTATGATATTAAAAAGATATTGTAAAAGAGAAGAGGACTCAAAATATATTTTAATATTACAGCATCTGTTTAAATAATATCACAACTATTTTAAGAGCAGCATCTCCATTTTAACAATTGCATATGTACATATGTATTTAACGAACCCGACCACGTTTGTATTATTTTTTTCATTTCAGAAAATCCACTATAGGCAGCAATGTCTATATATCCTCCGCACTCGCATTTTCTCCGACATTTCTCGCTCGCTGTGCGGCTCGGCTCTCTTGACTCGGTTTCCTTCTATTTTTAGAGAATTTTATTTAAAAAATGCGCAAAAACTCATACATATTTTCGTAGTGAAAACAATAAATATAGAATCATTAAGTTGTACACGCGTTTAAATTTAGACTTCCAACAAGAGGAGCAGGGCAGAGCACACAACACAATGAGCATGGCCAGAGCCAGGCGAATAAAGTATAAATAAAGCGGAAAGGAAAGCGAAAAAGACCAACAAAAATAAAGCAACATAAAAGAATCAAGGAAAATAGAAAATATCCAGCTGGAGGAAGTACTGGACAAAAAGCAGGAATTGTACCATTCTCTAGAGGCCTTCATAGCCAACTGTCCATCTACAATGTAAATACAATTGAACTTCGAACTTTGCGAACGAGTCAAAAGTCAAATCTTGTTTCAGACAAATAATTTTTTTATAAAGTTTGAAAATTTCAATTTTAGCATAAGATTTTTTTTTAATTACGGTTTCAACTAAACCTCCTAAAAACATACATATGTCTGATTTAATTAATTAATTCATTAATTTTAAAATCCTAAAAGTATTTTCTTAACTTTTTGCTATTTTATAACAATTTCAAACAGTTTTGACTGTGAGAACTATATTTATATTTTTAATGCTTCAATTAACTTTCTGAACCTCTATGATTCATTGTTAAATGAAAAATACTAAGTTTTCAAATATTGATAACACCACTATGTCTGCTATAACTGTCCATGGAAACAGTAGATTTTGCGATTTGCCTCGGAAGATGGTTCAATTATGATGTTTCTAATGGTACACTTTTGAAAACGCTCTAAATGATTTCATTAACTTTCTAGGGGGTTTGTCACAACATTAGTCATCAATCATAAGACAATCCCCCCCCCTCCTTCCAAACAGGTGGTATTTCATCAGGGAACTGAAACTGGTACAGGAACTGGGAACTGGGAACTCACCTCCATGATCTGCTGATCGATATCCACCGTAGGATGGGGCTTGAAGTCTAATGTCAGTGTGCCCGGCGTTATGTGCAGCAATCGCTCATCGCTTCCGGCTTCTGATGGCAGATCTGCGAATTGACAATGTAAACACACAACTGAGTGAGCGATATTGGAACGTTTTGTGTCGGAGAGGGATATAGATTTGATTCGTATAGGTTCCTATGTATATATACACCATATATAGGCTCTCCGGATCTGGAGGAGGTGTGACTCGCTCGCTCTCCGGACCGATTATGTAGATAAGGCCGCGCTTATCGGGCGCTTTTAAAAATAAATCTAAAACGTATTTAGTCGACGCGTTGAACCTCGATGGTTGGTATTTGTATTTGTATTTGTATTTGTATTTGTGTTTGGCTTTGTTAATGTGTGTATTTACACAGTGAAAAATATACAAACAAAATTTGAGTTATTTCTTAAGCAATTTTTTTTATGTACTACTTATGTGGTTAAAAAAACTTTTTCCAAGTTTCCAGGTCTTTCCGAGTCTAGAACTGTTATCAGAAAAATATTTTGGTAAGGAATTAAATATATATGTATGTATAGTCGGGAGTAAAAATATGGAACCAAGACTAACGTACATTTTTCTCCGTGCATGAGTGTGCGTTGACTATTTTTAGTAACCTTGTGCAGTACAAGTTAACAGCGATTACAACGATTTCCTCTCAACTTTTGCTTTAGCTTTTGCTTCTTCTTATTTGGTCGCACGTGACGCCCAAGCTACTTTTATTGCTCTCTCTCTCTCTCTCTCTCTCTTCATCTTAGCATTGCCCACTTTTTTTTCTCCCTGTATTTTAGCACCGCTCAACTAATTTAATTTGTTGCCAAAGAAAAATGAGGAGAAAAAAATTTCACAATTGCTGAATATGCAAAGGCTCGGAAAAAATCGTTTGGAAAATGTTTCATTGATAAATATTTGTACCGAAGAGAGCGGAAATATTTGCTCTTTTTTCCTTTCACTGGACTAATTGCTCGCCAATAAAAATTCAGAGATGACTAACCAAAAAGTTCAATTAGTAACAATGTCCCTCTCCTCTCTCTCTCACCATCACATATCCTCTCAGTGTCTTTCTGTCTGTCAAGCACTGATCTAATCAGCAAAGTCGAGTTTTTTGGTCTAGAAATTGATTCCAATTGAATATTGGGCTATGTGGCGGTTCTAAAAATAGAACAACAAAGAGCAAAGCCCAAAAGCAGCAACAAAACAAAAGCACAAACGCATGTGCATAAAGTACGTACATTTGTACGGTACAGTTAGGGACGAAATCATAGAACCTTTTGCAAACTAGATAAATTAAGCTTTTTTTAGGGTTTTTATCAAGTATGCTTTTTCTGTTTAATTGCTGTTAATAAAATGCTTTTTTTTGTATTATCTTATACACTAGAAGTTAAAAATCAATTATGTACTTTACCCTACTCACATTTAAGTGGTATTTAAAAATTTACTTTTCGAAGGAACGTGTTTAAAATAAATGATTTGTTTTCAAAACATCTCAACATTTTGTTGAACACATATTTTACAAATACTTGGAGTATTATTGTCGTTAAAACTTAAATTTTTTTTTAATATTTCCAAGCTCTAGTTTTGTTACTATTATTTTGTCCGCAACTGTTGAACAGGCCGTGACCTGCTACGCTGCTTGCTGCGCTGCTTGCTGCTCTGCTTTGCTGTTCTATTTTTAGCCGCGTTTATAAATCGTGCATGGCTTTGGGGAGTATATTTAGAAGTGGCAAAACACAGATACTACAGATACAACTACTACTACAACAGCAGCAGTGCATATTGCACAAAAGCGCAAAAAATCAAGAACAAAAAGTATAACAAGATAAAATATAAAAAAACCAACATCACAAATACGTAGTGTTGTGTAAACTTAAAACGTGAAGACTAAATCCAAATTGAAATTTAAAGTGAAATGCATTGGGGGAAATGTAGAGGCCCCGAATTTTCGATTCCTGTTTGCAAACATTAAACAAATAGAAACCCCTTAGATAAAAAGGTTTAAAACCTTAAATATAGAAATTGAAATCTAGATAGAAGCAACAAATTACTATTCTTAACATTTACTCTTTTAAGATTGCTTTGTGGTGGGTCACAATTTTATTTAACTTTTATGCAGCATATCTAAAACGTATTGAAAAGTTCATGTTTTGGCTTTAGGGTTTTAATTAGTTTGCCCAAAGAAAGAATAAGAGAGGTCGAGGGAGAGTGAGGTTACAGGTGGAGAGAGTGAGAGAGGGGCAAGGAGAGAGCGGCTTGCAATCAGAATCAGCTGTTACATTTTTTGTAAGGCGATGCCGATTTGAATAAACGAAAATGCGTTGCAGATTCCCCATTTCTCTCTCTCTCTCTCTCTATCTCTTTCGGTTTGTCTCCCTTCATCCCACAACTCCCCCTTTTGGGGCTTTTTTCAACTTCAAGGTCAATTTGTGTGTTGACATAGAAACCAACCAAATGGCACAACAAAAACAAAAGCACGTGTATGTGTGTGGCCGCAAAATAAATATAAAAAACAAAAACAAAATAAAACGAATAACGGTATTAAATTTTATGAGAGGGGCGCTGGGTGTCATTGAAATTGAAACTGAAATTCAATTGGAAATTGATACGACAACAACAGAGAGTGGGAGAACAGTTTGATATATATTCCCCCTCTCTTGCTCACTCCTCTCTTTCCCTCTCTTTTCTTCCTTCCTCAATAAGTTTGTTTTGAGCGATAACTAAATTTCCATGTGTTTGTGCGTTTGTATGGGTATTTTGTGGGTAAATTTCCAGCGCGCGCATTCTAAAAATAGACCCAACAACAGCTAAACTTTTGGGCCAGGCCGAAAAAAAAACGAGCGCCGGCAAAACGTTTTTTCTCGGGCGTTTGAAGGCGTGGCATTTGTAAAGTTCTAGGCTATACAACTCGATAGAAAACCCCCGAAAAAACACCCCGATTTTGCGGTTTTACCTTGACAAATGTAGAGCCAAAGAGCAGCCATTGCGATAATAACTACAACTACAGTAGTTATTCGCTAGTTAAGGTTGGTGAATAAGTTTTCGAATCTTTTCTATTTCCTTGAATTTAGAGGTTATAGCAATTTATATTATAATAAAATTCGGTTTTATTTTATATTTATTAAAAAATACTGTATTTTTAACTTTTGGGAAAGTAGCTTTGATTAGATTGACTGTTGTTTGCAATAATAACATATTAGAAGATTACTAGACCAGTTAACATTTAATTATAGGATTTTTTTTATATAAATCATCTAATTTGTGACAACGCAGAGACCGGAAAAACTAAAATGGGTTAATTGTAAAGAAATGGAATGCATAAATAAACGCAGCAGCAACCCCAAAGTGAAGACACTGGCGTTTCGAGGTTTTCTGGTGGGGATGTGGTGGCTTTATACGGGCGATACATAAGCTCTTACAATTTTATATAACAGCTCAAACACACAGAGACAAGCGCAAACAGCGAGCCAAGTTTTATTCTTAGAATGCCATTACAATAAATGCTCCACTGGCACTGGAGAAAACAAAATACCGTTGGGGGTTTTTGGGGGGTTTGGGTGGTTCGGGAGTCCGACCTTCTTGCAGGTGCTGCGTGTTTCACAATGGAACAACAAAGTAACAACAGAAAAAAGGAAAAACTTTTCATTTATTGCGTCTTAGACAATCAATTCAGCCCCACATGGGGATGCGATTCTATGTAAGTGTGCTGTAATGCAAAGCGGGGCAATTAAATTCTATATATAAAAAAACCCCAAAAGTTCGTTCTCAAAAGAAGGCCAAAAGAATACGGCAATGTTATTAATCAAAGGAGCTAATCAATAATAAGAATAAGATTAAATAAAGATAATGTAAAAGAGTCCAAGTCTCATTCAAACTAAATTTAAGTAATTCAAAACTAAAACGCTTTAAAATTTAAAGAAGTTTACAATGCATGAGGATAACTTATCGAACTTGCCCTGCTTACAAAGTTTTAGCACTAATCCTTTGCAACTTTATAAATAGTTTGCCAACTTGTAACTTCATTTGTAATTAGTTAAGTTTTTCAACGCTAAAGTTTGGCCGACCTACACTTTTATAAATAAATTATTGCAAAACAGTAAATTGGTAATTGCAGTTAATAAAACTTGTTTTGAAACTTATTCAATGTACATACATAAATTGTTAAGGATTTTTAAAGTAATTATAGAAAAGTTTCCCTTTATGTTAAAACTGCCGAAAAGTTTTTGGATGGGATTTATCGCTAGGAAAACAAGTTGCTACACATAATAAAAGTTTCATGGAGGAATTATTAATTGCGATAATAATGATTTACCTGCAACAGCTGGCGAAATTCTGAATTACAAATTTAAGGACATTTTGTAGAAAAGACCTTGGACAAAGGACAATCACATTTTTTAATTAAATTGGTCAGTTTGTAAAGGAGAAATAAGTGGATAATGATAATAATTTTCTCAAAAATATAATTTGTAACCACGTTATTAACGTACAGAGGGCAAAACCCATGATTGCTTTATCACCATGTTGTTGTTTTTTTTTTCATTTCAGCAAGTCCTTCAATGAAGGAAAGCTAATTTTAAATTAACCCTTGACATTGCAAATTTTCCTGGTCTATATGTCCAAGCTAAATAAGTGGATTACAATAGTTATTATCCAACGCGAAGGCAAAGTTCCTGATTATTAATTCAATGATTTTTCCAACTAGTTTCCGAAAGGAAAGGGGTCAAGGAGAAATTTTCGTGAATTACTAATGGCCTATCGATGTCCAACAGCTGGACATTCGATCGAAAGTTACTTTGCCTCTCTCCACAATTTCCCAAGCAATTAGACGGAGACCCTGGGACAATTTTCTTGGCTGTGGAGAAAAAGAGAATCCCCGGAATCCCCTAAAATCCCCGGAGGGGTCGGCGGATTGCACGTGGCCAATTGAAACAAAAAAAAAATAAATAAATAAAAGGAGGCGGAGAAAAGACGTGGCCCGGATCTCCGGGTTTCACGGGCTTTACGGGTCGGTCTCCGGGTTCGGCCGTCAGTCAACAGTCCACACACACACACACACACACACACACACACACACACACATACACAAACACACCCTACAACACAACACACATTTACACCACCCATTTGAAAGGCAAGTAAATTTTGCTGTTGCTTTTGTGTCTAAAAATAGACGAAAATCGATAAACGAATGTTTTTCTTTTTGGTTGCAAACAAACAGACAGAGAGCAAAAACGAGCATGAGAATCGGGGAGCAAGAGAGCTGAGCACGAAGCGAAGATTACGGTGCTCCAAGCCATCTTCTGCCCCTTCAAACCCCCTACCATCCACCGCCCATTTACCCATTTTCTTGCATCTCCCACCAACCACCAACCACCACCCCCATTTCCATTTCCATTTTTCCGTCCATCCACGTGCTTGGCATTGGCAGTTGTTTCGATGGATGGCCAAAAAGGAAAGCGTCCAAGACCAGTACAGTAAACTAATCAAATCATAAATCATTTATTTAAGATTTAATTTAAAGGGCCTTTGGTTTTTATTTATTTGCTCCTTTTTTCAATTAAACGAGTTCAAAGCCTATCAAACATTTTTAAACTCACATTGTTGTATGATATATTTCTAAGCAAATTCAAAGAAAATTGTGATTTTTAAATTAAAATGCACATTCAAACAAATTAAAAGAATTATGGGTAGTATATATATTAAGCAAATGTAAAAAACGTATGATTATATACAAAAAACTGAAAATTGAAAATATTGTTCGTTTTTCAGTTTTAGAACAGATATTTTGGGCTTGCTCAATTGATAACAATCAATCACAAATCTAATTTTCTCGTTTATTTATATTTTAAAATGTTCTTAATTATTATAAAAATAAAATAAATTAATAATATGGAAAATCCTTAAATTTAGCATGTTGATATAATGCTCTACCGCCGTTTAATGCAGTGTGAAGCCCAATGTCAACACTAGGTAAGATCAAGAAAAGTCACCTCAACCATCCCAGTGAAATTCTCCGCCACCTCCTTTTTTCCGCCCATCTATATCTATTCTGTTTGCCGTGAAAGAGACGAAAGCGACGTTGACGACCCGACCATGGACAATATTCTTGTTGTTGTTCTCGGCCAGACCGGGAGAAAAAAGTTGGTAGATCCCACTGTACAACCCCCGCGCCTCTCACGCCAAACCCACAACCTTTTTAACCGCCCGAAAGGAGCAACAAACGCACAGTGGTTCAAGCTGTGCAAATATTTAACTGATTTGATTGACAGTTGGCAAGAAGTTGCTCTGGAGAAACGGAAAAGTACGTAAATATACCTCACAAACTTGATACACCATCTGCCACATAAAATAAAACACAATTGAATTTTGAAAGTTGGTTACTTAGAGAATAGTTTTAGCTATTGTTTTCGACCTATATAGGGGAACTTAAACATTTGCCTACATTTTTACCGACTGAATGGATTAAATCAATAAAGTAGTAAGTAAGAGGACCAATAATGATTTTTGGATAGCGAAACGTGCCAAAGTTGGTTTAGTTGGTTCTTGGCATAACATTCAACATTTTAAAAACCAAGGCAAGTACTGAGATTCTTCTGCTTAAAGTAAAGCTTACTTTTGATCTATATGTAACAGATATTTCATATTTAAATTATGAAAACGAGTTAGAACAGAATTTTAATTTAAATGAAACGGACCAAAATTAAATTGTAATATTAGCAAACAAGTGTTCTAAAACATTCCTTGAGTTTTGCAAAGTTGCTTGGATAACGCTGACAGAGTCCACTATTAATTTGGTTATTATCTAGCCTTTGAAAAAATGTATAACTATTTATTCATAGATTTATGGAAAATATATATGTTTTTAATGAAGCTTAATGGGTTTTTGGCTAAGTTAAGGGTTATGGATTCTTAATGGATTTTTAAAAGAATTTTGAGGGCTTGTTTAGTGAGACCAACTACGACAATTGCCTGACTCGTCCTATATGTACATAACTCTGCCTTATAATTCCCAACCAGTTTTGTGCAGAGTTTTTAATATCGTTAACTACCAATTTGGGACCAATGTGCATCATCCATTGACAGCGCTGTTCTGGTCCGCTTTTGTGTATGTGCTTATTACAGTTATTTTTGGAAGGCAACACACACAAACACCCATACGGTCTGTGTAAGCTTTTGTTTGGGCATGTGTATGTGTGGTCTGTGTACATTTTGAGTTATGTATTCCGAATGTTGTTAATGCTATAACTATGTATATGCAGGTTACATACGAACAGCCAACAAAGCAGGATATAATATAATAACCACCCAATACTGCCCTAAACTAAAACCCAGTTTATCTGTGGGTTGGGGGAATTTGCAGGGACCTTCGTTCCCACTTACCGTGTATTGGTATTCTATCGTCGGGACTAGACATTTTGCATATGGATTTAGGGAGGGCGGAACCTGCAACAAATCAGAAAATCAAATTAAACAATATGCAAAAAAAATTAAGTTAATCATTTTTATAGGGATTTGATTTTCTACCATTGGTTTACTTTATTAATAAGTAAAAAGTAATCAAACCAGTTGACCAATAAAATGCACATAATAGATTTATAATTGACATATTGAAATTTTACTCGATAAATACAAATTGAAGCCCTTGAAAATATAGCACCAAAAACGAGTCACTAATATAAATAATAAAATTTAAGATAATTAAAAGATTTAATAATATTTGTAATGTAGATACATACATATATATAAAATATTATCAATATTCGGAGAAGTTTTTCTCCAGTGTAACTATAAAACAAGAAGATGAACATACATTATCTGAACTTTATAATTCTGATTCATTCCGGGAAGAATCTTTAACCATGGGAAATGCCGCGCTTTCTCAAACAAACACAAATAACGAATTGCACATATTTATATGTATGTTTTCAATATGAATGATTCTGCCAGACCTCAAAGCAAAAATTTCATTCAAAATAAATTCGCAAAAACAGATTAACAGGGAGAAAACAAAACTGAAAAACAAGTGCTCTGATAAGGCAAGAATTTTTGGAAAATTTTGGTTGTCATTTTCGGAACTCCGATAATGATATGTAAAAATAAACTCTTGTTTGTTTCTGCATTTTTTTTGCTGTTGCTTTGTTTACAGTTGAGAGCACTTGATATGCCAATTTTTACGGATCAGAAATAATTTAAATATTCCTTTCAGGTGCGCCTTCTCGAGGGCGTGGCCAAAAAAAAAGTACCAAAAAACGATAGCTAGTTGCCCCATTGACCTTCACACACAACACACACATGTGACGCACAAAACAATTTCCGCTCACTAATTACAGGAACAAATAGAACAAAAGCGACCAGCAACCAGAAACCCAAATAGCAGAAATTGCATTTTAAATAAATTATCGGTAAATCGGATACATACATAAATAATAAATTCGATCAACATATCATAAATAATCCAAGCATTAAATATCATAAATATTGTTGCGATTGACGAATCAAGAATCAAATGAATTTAATATCCACAAAATACTTTTAAAAAGGCACAATACAGTTTGAGTTTTTAATAGGCAAAAATAAAATAAACAAACATTTTTTTTCAAAATGTTTTTATAGTTTTTTTCATATAATTTTAATCCAAACACAAGTTAAAAAATGTTCAGTTTGTAGTTCAATCAATTAAATTGTAGGAAAACATTTAGTGAGTTTGGTCATATCTCAATAATTAGCCACGTGTTAATTTAAAATATGATTTAAACTGTTTTTTAAACTCAAAACGAAAACTTGATTTTGGATGAAAACTGTAATTTTTGTATACAAAATTAATAAATTAAGTCGAGGGATGGATGGAGGCTAGAAAAGTGAGTTGGCAGCCTCAATTTATCGTGGCGAGTCATATTAATTATAGTCATCAGTGGGCTGCATTGTGAGCTAGAAATGCGTATTTCTTTCACTGAAACGACACATGCAACAAACTAAGCTGTTAAATAGCTTAAACCCTAATAAATAAAGTATCAAAAGCCAAAAACAAATTAACAAAATATCGAGCTTACTACCCAATAAAATAATATTCGATCCTGGTGTTCTGTTCCAAGGTTTTTAATTCTTTTATATCTGACCTCTTTTGAATTAAGTAAATTTTACAGTAGGGTATTTAAATAAAGAGTTTAGCAATGTTTTTCACTGTAGTTAAAAAATGGATACAAATGATTGAAGAGAGGGGGGAGAGCAAAGAAAAGATCCCGCAAAAGAATAATGAGAAGTTCGGCTCAAAGCGACCAAAAAAAACAACAATAAACGATCAGCAAATTCCATTCTGCTTTTGTTGTTACTGTTTTATTTTTTCCGATTTCTGGCATCATGTTGATAACCAAGAAGAGAGAAGTAGAAGAAAAGGGGAGAGCAAAGCGGAGAGGAGAGAAAAGAAGAAGCGAGCACAACATAAACCAGTTCAATGCGCTTTGCAGAGGAGCTTTTATTATTTATTTTTGCTTGTTTTTTCTTTATTTTTTTTTGTGGCAGCCACATTTACAGCAACTTTACTAAGTGAACAAAATCAAATCATCAAATGCAAAGAGGGAGAGCAACAAAAAGAGAGGGAGAGACAGCGAGCACTTTATTTAGCACGCACACACTTGTTACATAAATAACGGCGAATCGAGTGAGAAGCAAGACAGACGAAAAAGAAGTCTTGCTGATCTAATAAGAATATGCTGTCTCCCCTTCGGCTGCTGCTACTAATAAGAATTCACGGGGCAAGACAAACAAATAAACATAAATACCTCTTGGTGCAAACTGTTGGCGGCTGCTTTTGTTGTTGTATTTTGAATTGTATTATATTGTCGATTTTCTTTTTCAACTTGTTCCACAAAGTGCGAAAAATTATTAACGAAAATATAAAATAAATAACGCACGCTCTCTCGCTCTCTCACTCTGTGTTTGTGTGTGTACGATGAATTCACGACTTTTTTAAGTTAATTTTTGTGTTGTTGTGGACGTATACTTTTGCGCTCTTTTTTATTCGCCTATTTGCTTGTTACCTCTTTTGCTTTTCTTTTTCTATACTTGTTGTTGTTGTCACTTCACGAGCAGTTTTCGCAGTTTCTTTTTGGTACTAGTACTACGACAACTGCCTCTGCTTTTGCCTCTTCTCCTCATCATCGCTCATTCTCTTTTGCTTGTTGATTCGCCCACAATTTTTACGGGTTTTCCTTCGTTTCTGCACGAGCACGCACTTTTGGTTGTTGTTTTGCTTGATTCAAAAATTTGCAATTTTGTACGTTTGGAGAAAAACAGAAAAAAAACAAGAAAATATTGTTTAAATTTTCGTGGTTTTTATTTGGGGAAAACGCGCGACGTTTTGGACTTGGGAGCGGAGCGACGCAAAAAAATACAAATTTGTTCGGAATAGAGGTGGAGAATAGAGGTGGATAAGCATCGATGCCAACATCGATGTTTTCAAAACATCGGTTTCATCGATGCTTGGCGGGGCAACATCGAAGTTTTCCCATCTCTACACTGCTTTCCCAATATTCGTCGTTTCGATGAAACATCGACGTTTCTCCACCTCTACAAATTTGCTTGGAACAGAGGGTGAAGAGACATATCGATATCTGACAGGGCCTTATCGATGTACTGTCATTCGACTTTTAAAATGGTCACACCAAAAAATATCACACTTCTTGCGTACGTTAATATTTCATATACAAATTTGCTCGGAATTCCACGAGAGTTTGTTGTAAATATTCGACAAAGGTTAAGATTCTGTGGCTGTATATTTTAATTAAAAACAGTATTTTTGCGAAACTTTCACAAAAAACATTTTTGTTAAGAAAAAACGATCTTCGGCTAACATTTAGCAGCATTAAAAGTGCAATGAAAAAGCTTTGTTTGTAGAGAGTTCTGGGTCAGAGATTTTATTATTATCACTATTTCTTAAAATACTTTTAGCTCATCAAAACTTATACCCCAATGAATCAACCGTTGTTGGCACCAACTTTAAAAATTGTCCAACTTATTTCTAAAACCCTTATTTATTAAGGCATATTTATTTTGTTTACATCTTCTAACAGATACGTCTCGGCCTTTAGTGTAATCGTTTTGGATATTAGACAATAAAAAGGCTCATTTAGCTGTAGTTGAAATTGTTAAATAACAAGTTAATTTTTAAATTTGAATCTTATCGATTTTTCCCAAATAAAATCATCGATAGTGCCATCGATGATTTGCCAGCTCTAACTAACCTGGCGCACATCTGTTTGTTATTGTTTACAGCCGATTCGATTCGCTTCTTTTGTTTTTTTGGTTGGGGGAAAAAAACGCGCAACGTGGACGTGGACCATAGAATAGAATAGAGCAGTGCAGAGCATAGCGAGCACCTGCTGCCCCCGAAAACACCTGTGCCCCGCCCCCTGCCCTGCCTCCGCCCACCTGCGCGCCATCAAGTGTTATTCATTTCGTTTCAATTCATTTTACTTCTTAAGAGGGTTTTTTCAAGACGCAACAGCATCTGATCTCGATCTGGTGATCTGGCAAATCGAGAGTACACACATATATAGTAAAGCACTTAAGCCCGGCGATCGATGAGCGAGGCGAAGATGAACGGACGCTCCATACGCATAAACCGGCTGCCGGCCACCATTGTGGCCATCCTGCTGACCATCGTCCTGGTCTACTTCCTCAACTTCCACCAGGAGGAGCGGCCGGCCATATACGGCATGCTGCGTAGCGAGAACCCCAACCGGGTGAACCTGCGCAAGATGCTGATCGCGGCCATCCAGGCGGCCCAGCGCGGCGGTATCGAGGTCCTCGACGTGGTCCGCAGTCGCCAGCTGAAGGAGCGCAGCAAGGGCAAGACGGACGAGGGCGTCAATGATCCCTTCACGGACGCCGACGGCCGATCGCACTGCGTGATGAAGCAGGGCCTGCAGCGCATCTTCCCGCTCGTCCAGATCTTCTCCGAGGAGGACAAGGAGCACTGCAGGCAGGCGCACAGCTACGACCTGGATCCCACGGTCCTCCACGAGACCGCCCAGGTCCCGAATGTGGCCGTGAATGCCCGCGATGTCACCGTCTGGGTGGATCCGCTGGATGCCACCAAGGAGTTTACGGGTGAGAGTCCTATATCATTGCTATTTTATATTTTCTCATCCCACATTTGCTTCCGTTTCTCTAAAAATTGCTGTTTCTATTATAGCTAGAATTTGAAATGTTTTTTTTTAATATCCCATAACTAATATTTTTCTTTGTAACTTTTGAACTAATTTAATCATCATAAATTCTGAGATTCTTATTATCATATAAAACACCTTTGTCTGCAATATATTTATTTATTTCAAAAGTCCTTATCTGACTAGTTAACATATGTATTATCATGCTACTTTTAAAATACAACTTTAACTCTCAAAATTACTTTTTAAACAAGTCAAAATGATAACCATGTTATACATAGATAAGATAAGGGGATAACTATTTATTTTATGTATAATCAAGAAATACAAATTAGCCACAACTTGTTATTGCTTAATATGCAAACCTATTTCTTTTTAACTTGTAATATTCATTTATTATATTAATTTTTGTTCCAACATTTTGAAGATATATCTGTATAGCTTGTTTACTATTATTGGGTTACTTTGTATTTCCATAACTATCCTTAGAAATCGAGTAAGAGTTGTTAAATGACTTTCACATTCACGTTACCTATCTTTAAAACGACATTGCTACCTTCTCCAATCCGCAGAGGAGCTGTACGAGTACGTGACGACCATGGTGTGCGTGGCGGTGGCCGGAAGACCCATCATCGGCGTGATCCACAGCCCGTTCAATGGCCAGACGGCCTGGGCGTGGGTGGGCAACTCAATGTCCGAGTACCTGGCCACTCTGCATCCGCAGCATGCGCCGGACAGCCAGGCGCCCATCATCACAGTGTCGCGGTCCCACACGGCGGGAGCCAAGGATCTGGCGCGGAACATCTTTGGCGAGGATGTCAGCCTGCTGACGGCAGCGGGCGCCGGCTACAAGGTGCTCCAGGTGGTGGCCAACAATGCCACCGCCTATCTGCACACCTCCAAGATCAAGAAGTGGGACATTTGCGCCGGCGATGCCATTCTGCATGCCCTGGGCGGCACAATGACCACGCTGAACGACCAATTGATCAACTATGGACCCGAGGAGTCGCCAGTCAATACGGAGGGTCTGCTGGCCACTCTGGAGCGGCATGACGAGTATATGGACAAGCTGTCCAAGTATCGGGAGGCGCACAATGGCAAGCTGGCGTAGGGGTTACTCCCCTACTCCCTACTCCCTTTTCCCCCATTTACTGATCGCTTGGGCAGCATTCAAAAATAGCTATAAGTTCTAAAGATGGAAACCTGTTTTTTTTTCGTAATCTCAATATCTGTTCGTGTGTGCTGCTTATTTGTTGTTGTGCAACGGCTCGGCGGGGTCATGAACCCGGACCGGACCGGACGAAACCAAACCGCCCAGTTGGCTCAAAAAATAAACTTATTTTAATTTGTACGCCCCTTTTGCCTATTTTTAATGGGTTCCTAAAACTACAGTGTTTGGCTTATAGTAATTGGTTTCTTAAAAGTATTTAACCATCAGGTTTATTTAACTTCCAATTGTCTTAAATGATATTTGGTTTATTTATTGGCTAATTTTATTTATTTGTTTTATTTTGAACATTTTTATTTAAACATTTAATCAGTGATTAAATAAAATTTTAGCAATTTTCAGTTAGAATAATTTATGGTAATTTATGGATTATATATTTATAATTATATCCAGTTTTTAGATGAGTAAAAATTTATTTCATTTTTAAAAACAGTATTTAGTATCTTAATAACAAAACAAGCAATAAATCTTCTCGATTTTTAGGAATCTAATTTAAATTTTTTGACCAAGAACTCAACTTTAAAACTCTTAAAATATTATTGCTTTTTGTTATTAAAAATCGAAATGCTTAAATCTTTGGGCAGTATTGTTCAAAGGGAAGAATTTTATAACTCGTTTAAATTGTCATAAAATTCCCAACGGAAAATTATGATTTAAATTATTAAAATTCGTAGTTTTTATAAGTTAAAGTTTTTTATAAGTTAAATAAGATTTGACCAACAAAATAGTTTTTCCAAAACATTTAGTGAAGCTTTGCTTAAACATTTTAAGATGCTTTCATTTTTTTAATATATTTTATTGAATTCAAATCATCAATAAAAAAAATGAACTATCGATAACACGGACAAACGCAACTATCGATAACAGCTTTCTCGCACAAAGCAATCGCCCATCGCCATTGAGACTTAGAACCTTTGAAACGTAGGGTAACACTTTTTTGTATAAACTAAAAAAACGGAGTGTGTGTGTTGCCTATTGTTATTGTTTATTATGCGTCTGCTGGACCCCCGAAATTGTTAATTAAATGTGCACGACGTGCGCCCGGCATGTAATCAAACGGAATCGATCGAAATGGGCGGCCAAACGAACGAGGGGCGTGGAGATCGGCCCCGCCCCCTCCACCGCCGCTGCCCCCATCCCCACTCCCATTCCCAATCCCATTGACGTTGTTGTTGTTGTTTTTTCTAACGCTAACACTAACGGCAACGGCGACGTCGACTGCGACTGCGGCAGAGGAGCAGTCGGTGCAGTCGGAAAATACGGAAAAGCAGCCCCAAAATCCAGAATCCGGAAGTACACCACTAACTTCATGTCCAAGGAAATGCAGCTGCCGCAATATATCGGAAAACATACACAGTTTGCGGGTTCGTTGCGATGAGCAGCAGATAGCCAACTGGCAGGAATTGGAGTTTGGCGAGGATATATTAACATCCATTGTCAGCATGTTAGTTGTTCTCAAATACATATATCATTATAATTTATATTCATTTAAATATATATATGCTTGCCCCGTTTTAGCAATGCCAGCAAGAATTCCATTGCCTCGATTACTGCCGGCGATTTCGCCAACTTTACGGAACTCAAGCGCCTGGATCTGTCGTTCAATCTCCTCACCGAACTGGACACCAAAACCTTCGGCAAAAGTCTGGGCCGTGTGGAGAAACTGAAGCTGGCGGGGAATGCCATTAGCCACATTTATGAGGGCACCTTCAATTACATGGGCAAGCTCAGGCAGCTGTAAGTTTGTATATAGTACGGATATGTATAATTCAGAAGGGTATAAATTGAGCAAAAGCCATAAGCTTTAAGCCCTAAAATGCCCAAACTATGTTAAGTTGTTATATCCGAAAGATTGCATATACATACCTATACTTTTAAGGAATATGAAGAGGGAAAGGTAAAACGCTTATGAACAAGCGTTAATAATGAGATATTAAATTAATAATTATATTAATTTTCATATATAAATATTATATCGTTCTTGGTAAAAACATTTGTTGTCCTATTTGTTACCGTCTTCGCAAGAAAGGAAAATATGACATGAGTAAGAGTTATTTGAGTTGGTATTAAAGGATATAGATTTGATAAGCAGAGAGACACATTAATGATAATTGCAAATTATTATTATTATTATTTATTAAGAGCTAACCAGTGATTAAGCCTTCAGCTCAGATTTTACAAAATTGTTTTTATTTTTTTTTTTTTTATATTTTATTAATGTCTGCTTATGGCAATCTAGGGAGAGATAGATTATATATGATGGTATAGGTTTGCGATCAAGCATACTTTCCCATTATTAAACTGCCTTTTCCCTTCTCTCTGCAGCGATCTATCTGGAAATCCCTTGGCCTGTGACTGCGGCCTGATCTGGTTGATTGCCTGGTCCAGCGCCCGAGATGTCCGCCTGCAGCCGCCTCCGAAATGCGAGTCGCCCGGCAACTTTCGTGGCATGCCGCTGAAGAAACTGCGCGTGGGCAAGGACTTCCACTGCGAGACGCTGCTGCAGCCGCTGCTCGAGCTCATGCCCAGCCAGAATCAGGTGGCCTTCGAGGGCGACGAGCTGCAGCTGAAGTGCTACGCCCCGCGCGTGGCCATCGGAGTGCCCAGGGAGAGCGAGGATCTGCCCACCAAGGCCTACGTGTTCTGGGGCTGGTCGGACAAGATACGGGCCAAGAACTCCACCGAGGATATAGTCTACCACGATCCCACCAAGGTGTTCGGCGATGTGAACCTGGAGACACGCCACTCCACGGACTCGGGCATCCTCCAGTCGATCCTGCGCATTGCCAGTCTCACCCAGAACCACACGGGCATGTGGGACTGCACGCTGCGCAGCCAGCAGGCGAACCTCTCGCAGGCCATCGTCCTGCATGTGGTGGCCAAGGGCACGCTTTACTGCGAGGCGCGTGTGGTGCACACGAACAAGGGCACCTACCACTGGCCGCGCACGATGCGCGGCGAAACGGTGCTGCAGGAGTGCGTGGAGGAGCCCAGCGATGCGGCCCCATCCCGGCGAGCCTCGCACGAGTGCGGACCCTCGGGCGAGTGGCTCAATTTGGACACCGAGAGCTGTGTCTATGTCAGCGAAACCACACGCATCCTGGAGCAGTTTGCCAAGGTGAATCTCACCCTGACCAAGGGTCAGAATGCCCTGGAGATTGCGCGACGTTTGCACAACTTTACGCAGGCGCAGACCCAGTTGAATCGCATACGCGATCCCATGGATCTGGAGTACATAGCCCGCACGTTGGTCAAGTACCTGGATCAAGTGGAGCAATCGCAGCAGCAGCAGCAGCACCAACAGCAGCAGGAGATCAGTCACCTGCTGATGGACATCGTGTCGCAGCTGCTCAACTTGCCGGCGCATCTCTTTCGAGCGGCCCAATCGGAGCAGGGCACTGGCCAGCGGCTGCTCCACGTGGTGGAATCCTCGGCCATGCGTTTGGCCCTGGCCAGCACCCAGGCGGCAACGGCGACGGCAGAGATGATACCCTGGCGGAGCAGTGGCAGCGGCAGCTCGCTGCAGCGCAACCTCTTCGTGGAGTTCTTCAACGTCAGTCTGGAGGCCTTCGTCAGCCTGTCATGCGTGTGGCTGGAGCAGAGTCCGCGTGGCTTTCAGTGCAACAGCGCCAATGACACGATACCCATGTACGAGCATGGCGATATCGATGCCGCCATCCAGCTGCCGTACAGCGTGATCGGGAACAACAGCTCCGTGCGCAGTCTCCGCCTGATGATCTCGCTGCACCGGAACGGCAAACTGCTGCCCAATCTGGGCGGTGGTGGCCACAACCAATCGCTGTCGTCGGCCATCATTGGCATCCTGGCGTACAGCGGCGAGGGGGAGGCTGTGCAGTTCAGGGCCCCGGACGGCGAGCTGGATCCGGAGGAGGATGTGTACCAGCAGCGGGTGACGGTGATGCTGCGGGCCCACCCCTACCACAGTCCTCTCAGTGCGCCACAGCCCGCCTGGTGGGATGCCGAGGAGCAGCGCTGGGTGGCGAGTGTTTGCCAGCAGCACTACCAGCACCGCACGCTCGTCATGTTCAGCTGCAGCCGCACCGGCTACTACGGCCTGCTGCAGCGCAGTGCCTTCCTGAACGACTTCCGCAGCGAGGAGTCGGGCGCCCGGTTCCGGCATCCACCGGCCGCCGTCTACGCCGGCTGCGGCCTGCTCTTCGCCTGCTGCGCCTTCAATGCCGTCACCTTTGCCGTCTTCGGGCGGGCGGTGCGCATCAATCGGGTGCAGCGGCACGCGCTGGTCAACACCTGGCTGGCCCTGGGCGCCCTGGCCCTGGCCTTCTCGCTGGGCATCTACCAGACGGCCAGCCAGCCGCAGTGCCGCCTGCTCGGCCTGCTGATGCACTACCTCGGCCTGTGCGTCCTCCTCTGGCTGTGCGTGAGCCTGAGTAGCATGTACAAGCGGCTCACGAAGACGACCGGCAGCTCGGCGGCGGCAGCGGCTGCCCAGGATATGGAGCCGCAAAGGGATCGCGAGCGAAAGCCCATACTGGGCATCTACCTGGTGGGCTGGGGCATCGCCCTGCTCATCTGCGGCATCAGCAGCGCCGTCAATCTGGCCGAGTACGCCGCCTACGACTTCTGCTTCCTGCACAGTGCCACCACCTTGAATGCCCTACTCGTGCCGGCCGTCATCCTGGTGATCTTCTGCGGCATCCTGGCCCTCTGCATCTACTACCAACTGAGTCAGCAGGCGGTCAATGTGCTGCAGCTGCAAATGCACCAGCATCAGCATCAGCACCAGCAGCAGCAGCAGCAGCATCGCCAGTACTCGGACAACAACACGCAGGCCACGGAGCACATCGATCTGGATTGGTTGGATGCGAACGGCAGTGCCACCACGGCGGGTCGCAAGGAGCAGGATCACATGCAGGAGCAGTACAGCACGCTGAGCAATCCGCTGAGCAGCATAGTCGACGACTTCGAGCGCTCGAATCTCTCGCATCTGCGTGGCCACTTCATTTTCCTGGTGCTGTACGCCGGCGCCTGGCTCTCGGCCGCTGCCTATGTGAGCGGTGGCCAGGAGGCCTATGTCATGGCCTTCGCCGGCTGCTGCTCGTGCCTGGGCCTCTTCCTGCTGGTCTTCTACAACCTGAGCCGCAAAGATGCGCGGCAGGCGTGGTCGCAGGCCACCGATGGCGGACGCACATGCAGCAGCGGCAGCAGGCCCGCCCACAAACTGGTGACCACGTACAACAATGGCAGCCAGGCGAGATGCGCCCATCCGCTGTCGTCGGGCATGATGGCGCCCGGACCCGGCACGGCCATCATCAGCAACTCGATAGTGGCCTACAAGGCCAATCCCAGCCTGTACGAGGCCAACAACTCGGCGGGATCGCGTTCGAACAGCCAGTGCTCGCGGAGCATGCGCAGCCAGACGCGGAGTCAGACGCGGAGTCAGCAGGAGCAGCAGCTGCTGCAGGCCAATGCTGGAGCGAATGGTGGGGTGACCATCATCAACAACACAAGCGGTCAGCAGGGAGGAGCAGCAGGAGCAGGAGCAGGAGCATCAGCCACTGGTAACTCAGGCGGCGGAGGAGGAGGAGCAGGAGCTGTACCGCCACACAGCCTGAATGCCCTGCTGCACGGGTCCAGCCACGACCTCATACCCTCGGCGGAGATCTTCTACAATCCCAACCAGATCAACGTGGCCCGCAAGTTCTTCAAGAAGCAGAAGCGTCTGGCCAAGCGCAACAACTTCGAGCTGCAGCGCCAGACGATGCCGCAGATGCAGCTGCAAATGCAGATGCAGATGCAGATGCAGCTCCACAGCCAGCACAGCTTGAGCGATGCCAGTTCGGAGCAGCTGTACAGCAGGCACCACAATGCGATGACTCTGCTGGCCGGTGGCAGCAAGATCAACAACACCAATCTGCACTACAAGAACCAGGGATCGCCCATGGCCGGAGCACCCAAGGAAGCTGATGGCCTGCAGTTCCACAAGCGCTTTGTGCCCGCCAGCAGCACAGTACAGACTCCTTCGGCGGCCGCCAAGATCATGCAGGCCAATATCTACACCAACATACCGGAGACCCTAACGCCCCAGCATGAGGTGATCAAACTGCGGGCCAATGGACGCACCAGGACACCCTCTTTGCTGGACGAAACGTTGCACGAGCTGGATGACGATGAAGAGGAGGAGGAGGAGGAGCAGGAGCAGGAGCAGGAGGAGGTGGAGATGGAGCCAGTGCATGTGGAGCCAGCGCAGGAGCCCGAACTGGAGGAGGAGGATGCCAGTTCACTGGACGAGCATGCGCCGCTGTATGCCAACACCTTGCCGACGGCCAGTGGCGGGATGAGCAGTCTGTTCCGGAACCGAGGCTGCCACCAGCTGCAGCCCATCAGCAGCTCCACGCCCCTCAAGCAGCCCAGCCTGGAGGCCATGAACAGCTTGGGCCTGCCCGAGGTCAGCCCCGCCGAGCCGCTGCTCCAGAAGCACGAGATATATGTGTCCAGCTCGCTGCAGGTGACCACCAGCAATGGCATCCAGGAGGACGATGACTTTCCCAGTGTCCTCATCCGCTTCAGTCAGCAGCAGCAGTCCAAATCGCTGAACAACATCAGCGAAATGTTGGCCGGCGGACCGTCGACCGGATTGGATAACCTGGGCCAGGCGGAGCAGGCGGAGTCCAGCCACCAGCTGTCCGGCAACGAGGCCAGCAGCACGCTGGAGGAGCGGCAGGTGTACTCCTGCTCCAGCAGCAATCTCAGCCAGCTCAAGGCACACCACCAGCACCATCCGGTGGCCTCCATAGACGCGGAGGACGATGGTCGCCTGCTGTCCGGCAGTCCCACGAACGAGAGCGATCTCAACTACCAGAACTCGGAGATCAGCATCCGCAGCCACGGGCTGTATGCTCCCCAGGCGGACAACGACCTGAATCTGACCCTGACCGATGACTTCCGTTGCTACCAATCCTCGAATGCCAGCGATGCGGATGTGGATGTGCTCAATGAGTTCGACGACGAGTTTGTGTCCGCCACGGGTGGTGAACGGGTGGTTGGCGATTCCGAGCAGGATCATCACCATCACGATCATCACGATCACGACCAGGACACCTCCATCGATGAGCTGTACGAGGCCATCAAATGCCGCAGTCCGTTGAGGAGCAAGCAGGAGACCATCGAGCGATTCGAAAGGGAAAGGGAGCGAGAACGTGAGAAGGAGAAGGAGATGGAGATGCAGCTGGAGATGGAGATGGAGGCCGCCAAGCCGCTGAGCAATTCCCACAACGAAAATCTCAACGAGACGATAGAGGATGATAGCAGCCAGAGCAGCGTGATCTCGTACATCGATCCCAGGGCGGCCAACGAGCCACGCCCCTTTCCCAGCTAGCTCAGCCACGCAGCAGCAGCAGCAGCAGCAGCAGCAGCAGCAGCCCTAGTTAGATGTATATAGCATATATATATAAATATATATGTACGAGATGAAACCCCATCCTCGCTTGGTAAACGATGTGCCAATGCCAAAGTATTGCGTGTACCAAGCTTTTGAACCCAACCCACTGACACTCAAAACCATTTATGTATCTAGAGTGCATATATCCTAAGTTCGCCCACTCAAAGAAAAAAAAAAACAGAAAACAAAACTAACTGAACTTGTAATTATAGTAGTCCTCCCCCCACCTTACCACCCACTACCACTATTTATTATGACTAGTATTACTCCACTAAAGTCTCATATTCACCGGAGCAAAACTTCATCCATTAGTTGTTCACTAGGCTAGATCGTTGTGCATTTCATCCAAATGGCTAGCAACCAACACCACATCAAATCGCCCACCCCGAAAAAACCCTACACACATTTAATACGTTTTAAAGAAAAATTTTGGACAAGCAAAATGCATTTAAATGTAGACTAAGTTTATATTTAGATATAAATAAATGAAATGTTCACTTAAAGCAACTGCCTTTTTTTAATCGATTAACAGAAAGCAACCTGCTTTGGTTAGTTAATTGATAGTTAATCTTTGCCAACAATCAAACACTTTGAAGCATTTTAAAGTTTATAAAGAGATTACAAATGTTGCATTTATTTCGAGGACAGACACTGAACACATTTAACAAGCTACTTGTAAAGTAGATACAATTTATAATAGCAATTTTATCATAATAATACATTGATATCCGTTCAACATCGTCATGGAGTGTGAGTGGCATAAAGGAATGCGAATGCCAAGGCGAATGAGGCCACTTTCCAACTCTGATTGAATTACACACAAGGTGTAGGTATAAGGTAACACATTTGAGTTGCAAAGTAACACCATCGGGTTGATTAGCATTTGAGGTTTAATCTTAAGTTGTAACAATAACAAGAGATGTGTATAAACTATAATAAGATAAAACGATATATTGCTGATGCCTGGGCATCCGGTTGTGCATGTTTCTCATGGCAATTCTCCTGTCTTCCACCTAATCTCCTCCAGAGATTCACAGACTTCACAGGCTGCGTATGGATTTCCAGCGTCGCAGCAACAAACACGACGAGGTCAGTCCACTGGAGTATTGGCTAAATTCGCTAATGTTTATGTTGCGTGTTGGAATGTCGATTTTGTCTTTTAAAGTCTGTCCGAAATAGTACAAAGATCAATTAGCGTGTGAGGTGGCTCTTCAATTAGAATGGGATGACAATGATGCTGACCTTGTAGGCTTTTGGAATTTCCGTCGGCGATCTGTGTACGATCGTTCCGTTTATGTACAGCATATTGGCCGCACACTCCTCGGGCAAAGTCAGCTTTTGGTAGGTGAAGCTGGCCTCCCGCTCCATCCGTTTCACGATCTCCTGGCAGGTGGGACTACTGCTCACGCATAGCACATCTGGTCCAGCCATGGTCACATAGTACTTCAGCCTCTTCGAACCGTTCACCTGGACATGGAATGAAAGGGGTATACAGATTCGTTATATTACATAAGCTTAAGGACATAAAAGAAAACACATCATCTAAATATAGAAAACTTTTAGGATATTCAAAGGCTATCGAATGCATATAAGGATAGTTCGATTTTCCAAGAAGTTAATTTAAAATGTGATATAAAAATAAACAATAGATAAAAGTTAAGTGTACCATAAAACAGATTCTCTAAATAAAGTACGTCTTAAAAGAGAATACTTATTGGAAATATACCAGAATGGCTATATATAGATTTAAGATTATAAGTATAGATTTTTTTTTAAATATATACATTTCGCCTTATAAATAAAGAAAGATTTAAGTATCTTTAAAGACCATCAAATGGATGGATTCAGGTACATGTTTATGGATGATGAATATAAGGGAAGTGAGTGCGGAATCGTGTCATCAAATGAATATAGTACTATTCAAATACACTTATTTGAAAGAGTATATACCCGAATCGGCGTCACTGGATACTCGGGATAGGCCATGGCCACAGCCCGGGCACCCTCCTCGTTGGTGAAACCCGAGATTCCAATGAAGAACTCGCGTCCTGAAATGATCACGACGATAAAGTCAATCAGCCAAAGTAAAAAAGAGTACAAAGCATACCCGTGAAAAGCACATCGCCGCCGTCGAGTAGCGCATGTGGATCCTCAATCTCGATGACGGGTATGTCTAGTTCCTTTTTGAGGATTATGCCCATGCTTTCGGCCTCCCGCCGCCGCTTGGCGTGCTCTGATCTTCCGATGAGGGCCACTCCATTGCAGATCACGGCACTGTTCTCCACGAAGACGCCCTCGGGCAGCTGGTCATCCGGCGGCAGTTCGATCACGTCCAGGCCAATGCTCCTCAACAAGGTGCAGTACTGCTCGTGCTGTTGCTTGGCCAGCTGCACGTCGAACTTCCCGTTCTCCAGCAGCGCGTCCGAGATTCTACGGCGAATTTAAAGTGATTTATAATGGTTCAGTTCTATTAATTGGTATCAAGGGGATATGATACCCACAACATCTGAGTGGGTAAACGAATGGTTGATATGTACCTATCTATAGCGTAATCATAAATGTGACTATACTTAAATGGTTCTGTTGATTGGAATTGGTATAAAGGGTATATGATATCACAGCGACTGAGTGGACAAACGAATACATAAAATATTAAAATATTTTATTAATATTAATATTAAAATATTAATAATATATTTTGATAAAAACTATGAAAATGGGAGTTAAATACTAGATATTAAAAAATTCGATTTTCAATTACACTTTCAATTCATATTTAAATTTGGTTTTTAATTTTAAAAAATTCGGATTTTGGTGCATTTCTAAACGAAAGTTTTTATGTAAGTGCAGATTTTTAATAGATAAATAAATTAAATCATTTGAGACTTGTTAATGATATTAAAATTGATATAATATGGAAATCAAGTAATTTAAACAGCTTTAAGATAACATTTTTTTAAAGAGTTTTAATGCAGAACAAAAAATACTTCTGATTTATAATATATTTTTAATTTCTCAACATTTGTTTAAAACTAAGGTGATTATGGGGTTACAACATACAACCCAGTTTATTACTGCGAAGGACAATAATTCATTAACATAAACATTTGGTGGTTTTCTGTCGGTTAGGAGTAGGGATGTCCAGTGCATCCTGGATTCGGGAATTGGGTGGTTGGGAGGGTTGGCCCCACCCACGAGCTTGTGTACCCACGAACTAACGAATTGCTAGGTGACCTAATTCCCCGCCATTGGGCACTCCCTCCTCCGGAAGCGCCAATTGCCAGAGATACGGAGGAACTGCGTCTGGATCTGGACTCCACTCACCTGGCCACAATCGCGTGCGTGTATTTGGGCGACATGGTCGGCGGAATGGCCACTGGGTGCTCTTCCTCGGCAGCGGAATGCAGATGCGGATGCGAAGATGCGGATTCGGATTGGATTCAGTTGGGGGCAAGTGTGACCAAATCGCGAACGACAAAGAATACTTTTATACAAATGGTCTGTCTGATCACTGTCCAAGTCACTGCAATTTTCGTTGGTTGTTACCTGCCATTGGATTTAAATGTTTTGTTGGTAACTTTGTTTTAACTACTTACATTTATTTGTAAGTGTTTTCATATAGTCCGAACAGTCATCTATTTTTTTTCAGAATTTAAAAATCATTAAAAACGTGACTTACGGTGAACGGTCACGGAGAAAGATGTGACCTTAAAAATAGTCCCCTCTAGCGTTATCGATAGCATCAATAACACACCGATAACGACAGCTAACGCATACACACATCGCCAATTTTGGCATTTTCTCACATAAATTGCAAATAGTGCGTGCATTTTCCGCATTTTCCCGCGCGCACTAGCATCCGGCAGCCGTGAAATTGATGACCCCAGTTGTGGAAGATAAGTAGGAATGGAGGAAGGTAAGTGGACGGACATGGGTCAATCCCCGCAAGCGTTTTTTATTGATGGCGGCGCATTTTGGCATTCTCGCGCAGATTATTCGGCGTCATCTTCGGCCGGTGGCGGCGGCGCCGGAGGCAAGAAGTCCGGCGTGGGCAAGCAGCACAACACGCTGCCCTTCTGGGGCAACGAGACCTCAATGAACCTGAATCCGCTGATCCTGGCCAACATCCAGAGCTCCAGCTACTTCAAAGGTGCGTATGGCTGTGGTTCTCAATCTGCTGCCCCTCAGTTTAACCCGCCATTTTTTGTTTTTTGACTGCAGTTCACTTGTTCAAGCTGAAAACCTACCATGAAGTGGTCGACGAGATCTACTACCAGGTGAAGCACATGGAACCCTGGGAGCGCGGATCCCGTAAAACGTCCGGCCAAACGGGCATGTGCGGCGGTGTGAGTGGTTTATGAAATGTAGCGCTAATCGTTGGCGATGCTTGGAGTAGCTCCCTAAGTACTTGTGTACTCATTTGTCTTGTACTCAATCTTTCCAGGTGCGCGGCGTTGGCGCCGGCGGCATCGTGTCCACGGCGTACTGTCTGCTCTACAAGCTATACACGCTGCGACTGACCCGGAAGCAGATAAACGGACTGCTCAACCACACAGACTCGGCCTACATCCGCGCACTAGGTAGGTGTTGGTAAGTCGCATGAGTTCAGCCTCAGCCGTTACATATGCCGTCGCTTGCTCCTGCTCTGCTCCTTCAGCACACCAAACCAAACCACACAACATAACTAAACATCACCCCAATGAAAACCAAGAACCAGGGTGGGTCGATTTGGACGGTTGACACGGTTGCTTGCAAACTATTTAATAGAAAGGGCCAGCCGAAAGCGTGGTGGAAGGTATTCTATGGTATCTGTGGATTGAACAACAAGCACTCGTTTCAATTCAAATTTCAAGTTGTGCCTTCTCCATTTGCAAATCGAAAGAGGAGAGAAGAGGACCTAGCATCTCTTTACATCTGCCTGCGAAGGTAAACCTTATCCCAATTGCAATGTGACACAGAGCACACTTACACTATTGTTATAAATAATTCTGATTACCTTCATTCCATGTTTTTTCTGAGGTTCCCCAAGCATTTCATAAAGCATGCAAATAGCAATTCTAATGATTTTAACTTTAAAAAATAAAGGGTGAAATTCCCAGTTCTTAATTTGTCGTTTCAAAAAACATCTATCATTAAATCTTACAAATATTGGTTTAATATTCATTGCTTTGTTTAAGAACCGAGTTCATAGAGCAAGCAATAAACCGATAATGTTCTTGATTTCCCATAAGTGCCCAAATATCAGTTTTTGTTCTTTTCTTATTTATGGCAAATTTGCCAATACTAAATTAATAAAAAATAATATGAATATTCATTTAAACATGGTTATAAATGTTAACCTAAATCTTAGATACTTTTTAGGTGCCAAACATATTTAAGTAAAAGAATTTAATTCATTTCATTGTATAGTTTGGCTTCAGCGAACGGAAACATGTCTTGCATTTTCTTAAACAATTGATAATAACTTATTTTGTTCCGTTTGCCTGGGTCGCCAGAATTCGCCGTCAAACAAATCGAACCGCCCTGCCACAAAATCCTCCTCATTTGGCCAACCACATAGATTCGAGTTCACGACACGGTCCTAATCTCGAGTGTCTCCGTTTTTGTTTCTTGCCCACAGGTTTCATGTACTTGCGATACACACAGCCGCCGAGTGACCTGTACGACTGGTATGAGGACTATCTGCAGGACGAGGAGGAGATCGACGTGAAGGCGGGCGGCGGCCAGGTGAGTCAACTGTATGAGCCACCAATCACACGTACCCCAGCATGCCTGTTGAACGAGCCCGCCACTAACTGAGCTATTTGCAGGTCCTGACCATCGGACAGATGGTGTACCAGTTCATGACCAAGCTGGACTGGTTCTCCACGCTCTTCCCGCGCATCCCCGTGCCCATTCAGAAGCAGATCGAGAAGAAGATCGAACAGTACTGCAGGGAGCAGGGTCTGACCGTCAACCAGTTGAGCACGGGCCGTTCAACGGCGGGTCAGGGCACGGGGGGCGGGGGTCCAGGAGCCGCCGGCCAGGATGCGGACTACCAGGAGTACCAGGAGGGTGGCGCCGACACGGATCGTGGCGGTGGCGGCGGCAACCGTGGTGGCGGACAAGCCATGGCGGGCTCTGGCTCCCGACCCAACGCCTACCCACCACCGATTAACTACCGCAACGATCACGACGATCGTGACTACTATGCCCCCGCCTCGGGTTCGACATACGCCCGTGGTCGCGGTGGCTACGAGGACTACCCACCGGCCCCGCTGCCGCCACAGATGCCCTACGGATCGGGCGGCGAGCGGGAAAGGGAGCGAGATCGGGTGCGGGACAAGGAGAAGGATTACGATCGTCATCGCAGCAAGCACAAAAGAAAGCACAAGCACAGACAGAGCTCGCGTAGCCGGAGCAGAAGTCGCAGCCGGAGTCGCCATCGCTCCGAGCGGCATGAGCGCAAGCGGGACGGCGGCGGAGGTGGAGGTGGGGGTGGCTACGAGCGGAGCACCAAGAGCCGTCACAACGACCACTACGAAGAGCGGGAGCAGCGACGTCACCGGTGAGGGTCGACCGATCCCTAGCCCGATTCTGATCCCACCCACCAGACAAACCTACTCCTGCTTAAGTTGTTCTGCTACTAACTTACAAACTTTGTTTCCACCATAACGTAATCCTTTTTTTTTTTTTTAATTGTGAACCCCATTCTACTCTTTGGAAGCCGTGGACATCATATGCGCTTCTTACTCAGGTTAAACACTCCCCGAAAACCCGAAAATCCCACAACTAACACTTAAACTAGACAAAATCACACTCAGACACAGCAGCAAGGCTATATTTTGTAATTTGACTACACCTATGCTAATAAAATAGTTTCCAAGTTGTGTTTATGCAAATAAAGTCAAAATAATTTGTTTAAAATGGTTCTTTTCTTTGATTTGCTAACGTCTACCAATTTAACACTATTTAAAAAGTTTTGAGGGGAATAAAAGCATTCGAAAAAGATATTGAATCTAACAAGATTCTTTTGGGATTATGAATTTTTAAATTATTTAATGAACTTAAGGAGCCTTAACATCTTAGCTAAGCCTTAATTTTGCATACTTCTTGGATTGGTGTTTTCTTCTTTAAGGCTGTCTTTAAATTCTCCTGCATTTACTTTTCCAAGTATTAACATATCAGGTAATACATTTTATATGAAAAACAGTATAATTCGACTCTGGGTATGAGTATGGATAGTATAACAAGCTTCAGAAAAAAAGGTTACTCAATGCTTTTGTGTTAGGATTAAATTTATTTTCTTTTTTTCAGTGTTGCTTTTCGTTAAAATATTAAAATATTTTAATAATATTTTAAATTAAAACTGTAGTGGGAAAATGGGTTAATTTTATATTTTTTAAGACCTTGTGATTAGAAGCGTAAGAAAGGCACCCTGCACTTGGCTTTAGGAAAATTTGCAACCGCAGGCAGTGAAATAAAATAGAGATTACAAGCGATTGTATTTTGGTAAAACTTCTCGAGCGCCAGTTAAAAATAGGCAAAGGAATTGTATAAACTTTTGTTTAGAGTAAGTAAACATATTGTGGATAAATATTTAAATATATATGTTTTACTATCCTGCTCCAAAGTAGGTGATTACGGCAGCTCATTTGGCGGGGGGTTTGGCGAGCTTGGAAGCAAGTGCTGAATTTTAATCGTTAGTGCTGCGCAGATTATTGGCAGCTCGGATCGGTCAGGTGCGACAGCCGATACAGGTGAGGCGGCGGCAGCGGCGGTGGCGGTAGCCAAGCCTCCTGGCCCCGGAGTCACCGAATTTCGAATTTCAGTTAGTGTGCAACGCCTGCGCCGGATTGTCGCCTCTCGTGCCGACCGTTACAAAGAAAAGCGCCGGTCGAAAAGCGGCTAAAACGAATCAGCGAGCAATGTAATTAGCATGTGCCAGCTCCACTAAAGCCACCAAATCCGAACCATAATCCAATTCCAGTCCCTGCCACAGCACACAGACACGCACAGAGGCACTATACCTATGCCTATACGATATACGATATCATATCAATGTCAGGCCAATTAAAAATCCAACAAAAATTCAAACCGGAGTGAATGAAATGGCAATAGAGCAGACAATAGTAAAACGACACACAATTCACGCGTGTGCGAATGCGCGCGTCAAATGGCCCGTTTTGACCATTTTGGGAAAACGTTGTTGTGTGTGTGTATGTGCATGTGTGCATGGCCCGAGTGTGTTCGTGTGCTTATAGCCATAAAACATGGATAGCGGCCAAAAGCAAATGTGCAAAGTTTATGGCTGGGCCAGCACCTTTTCTCTGCTCTCTGTTCTTCTCTCTTTTCCTCTGGGTGTGTAAGCTCGGTCTGAGGCAGTGCTGGCGGGTTTTGGGCAGAAAATAGCTGCTTTTAGCGGGAGTCAAAGCCATATAAAACCAGAAACTTTATTTTTTAATATAAGGCTTGCATATTTCCAACAGATCGTATAATAGAGGTTGTCAAGGTTTTCCAGACTACCAAAAGATCTGTAGTTAGTTTAGCTTTAAACAGATCAGTTTAAATTTATATCACATCTGGATAACGTTTATTTTAAACATTTTTTGTTTTCATAAAATAGAATAAGCCCATTTTAAAGAATGTCACAGATGTCAAATTATATTATAACTTTATAAGTGTTTTCTTTTAAAAGTTTTCCAGGCTTCCAACTGAGCAGTAATTGTATTGTATTAATATAAGTGCATATTTACAAACTAATTAAAGATTCAAATCCTAAAAACATTGCTTGCATATTAATACATGTGTATTAATAATAAATGCAACTTGGCGTACGTGTCGTATGAGCAATTTTTAAAGACGCTTCTATCTCAATAAAAATAACATTTTCTGCTTTAAATAATTTTATTGCGCAACTGTTTAAGATATAGAGAGTTCGATTTTCTTATTTTATTGGTATTTTTTATTTGCAATATATATTACTCATACGTAGTGTGGCCTTTGTGCAATTTTTTACGTCACGTGGCGTATGAGTAATTTAAAAAAAAATCATTAAGATTAGCTTAAGTCAAGTTGACAATAGTTTGATTTGCTTATTATTATTTATGACCAATCCTGAAACACAAGGCCAAATTTTGAAATTTATTTATACTCTATTTGAATTGATAATGTTAAAGTAAATTTGTCATCTTTGCAAAGACAAGAAGTAAATTTGCCATCGATAGTAAATGATACAATATCAAAATAAAATATATAATGTATTGTGTTAAAGCTAACTGTCCTAAGGCAATACTTTGTTGTGATGAAAAGAAGATAGATAGATAGTATAAAAGAGCATCTGGTAGAATGTATAAAATAATACAAAGCAACCTGGTAGTATATCTATCTGGAAAAAAGCTGACCTGGTAGCTTTGGTCTTTGAGAGGTTTGCAAGCTTTTCAAGCTTCGGAACTACGATTTCGGTCAGTGGGGCAAAAGCGTCGATCGTTACGGAGGCAAGAGTGCGAGAATGCAACTGGTCATTATCCTTCACTATTTTTATTTGCACCTAACTTTTATGTTTTTTTTCTGTTATTTTTGTTTTTTAGTTTTTTTTTTTTTTATTTTTTGCTACTCTACTCGCGTCTCTCGTCAAATGCATTGACGTAATTGCCCGTGCACAAAACTTAGCCGTATATATCGATCTCGATCGCAGGTGTGTAAACCTAAAGTGGTTTTGATTTCACAACCGCAGAAGAGCTGGGGGGTGTCTTACTTAAAGCTGTTACCACGTCACTCCGCCGGTGGCTATCAGCGTCAGCAACTAGCGTCCGCACGTCTTGTCAGCTAACAAAAATATATACACATATGTATATATGAATACGTCGGAGAAACAACACAACGCACACAGGGCCAGAACAAAAACGACAGAAAATCACATAAAACAATAAAACGAAAAAAATTGCATTTTTTAATTGCCCCTTGTTATTTATACCGCGAAGGGTGGCTTCGTTGGGGGTGCGGTAAGGGGTTGAGTAATCACCACGCCCTTGTCTACTTAATAATCATCATCCCCCCTCCCCCCATCTCTACTTCTGTCAGAGCTGTTGCGTCTGCGTTGTTCGCCGCCCACCGACGTCATAGCCGCTGGCGTTTCGGACAAAGTGCGATGGCGCACCGTGGGTCACCCATCCACCTACATCATCATCATCATCTCTGTAAACATTAATTGGCCATCATATCATCATCATCACCATGGGCGGGCATTTCGCAATTAGTGAATCACGTGCTCTATCATAAAGAATCCGGACGTAACAAAAACCTGGTAATAATGTCGTTGGGGTAATGTCGTTGGGAAATTGGTTCCAAATATTTGTATCCTCTGCTGTTTTGGTTTTATCTTACCCAAACAAAAAAACTTTTGCCTAAAAACCATTTTTTATGGTGACTTACCATTTTGATTATCTACTTATGTATAGTACGTATGTATAGTATTTATTGAAACTCATAAAAAATTTTGCAAATTGCAACGGAATTTCTGCAACTACAATCAGTTTTGACGTATGTCGTTGGTTTGTGGTTAAGCTATATGTACTGAAATATTTCGTAAGTCATGTACGCAAGTGGTTATCACTATAGTGCACTGTTCCGGCATTGGTTTTCCAGAATTTTTATCGGGCATCGTTATGGGTATATTTTGTTTTCATTAAAATACTCTTAACAAGAAAATTGTATTCAAAACGATAAAATATTATAATTTGCGTCATTAGGTCTTATAGTTAGTTGACTATTATAAAATCATTAGTACTTTGAGTATGCAGGAGTGTGTAAGAGGGGTTTTTCAGAACAATATATTGTCAACCTTATTTTCTAATACGCCATTTTCTAAGTATTGAAATTAAGGTATTAAGGTATGTCTCTTAGAAAATTAGTTTTCAAAGGCACAATTACAAAGTTAATGCGATTTCGACTTAAAATCAATCAACTTTAGTTCTGAGGGTGTCAAAATACAAAATTTCCCCGGGTAATTTGCGTACTTGCGTAACCGCCAGAAAATTTTTCGTTTAATTGTTTTCTGAGAATATTTCACTAGTCACACCAGGTGATAAGTCACCGATTTGTCCCATTGTGCGTCAGTGTCGGTGTGTAAATGCGAGAGTGTGTGGCTGCAATTGAGTTGTGGTAGTGGTGCTGCTGCTTTATTGCATTGGGTCGCATCGCCTGTCAGTCTGTCACTGTGTGTGCTGGTGTGCGTGCGTGCGTCTGCCGAGTGAGCCAGTGTGTGTGTGCGAGTGTGCTCTGTGCTCAAATGCAATTTACAATTACGCGCGCCAATTGGAGCAGTTACCGGTGTGTGCGTGTGTACGTGCGGGATCATTGCACATTGCGTCAACGTTTCAAGATCACAATTACAATTATCCCCCCTCTCTCTCTCTGAATTACGAGAACAGTGGCTAAGCGACCGAACGAAAAAACAAAAAATAAATAAAACAAAAAACTATCAACAATAATAAGCCCGCCCGCAACAGCTGCTCTTCGTCTCCGCTCCGCTCCGCTCCTCTCTTCTCCCCTCCTCTCCACAGCACTCTACTCCTCCTCCACTTCTCTTCTCCTCTCAATTCTCGGCGAGTCTTCTTCTCCCGCCCCTTTGGAAAACGCAGAGGCAGTGGCAGAGCTGCAGAGCCGCAGAAAGCGATTTCAGTTCA